TTTCTTATGTGTTAATGCTTATTATTTAGCTTACACACACACACACATATGCAAGCCACAGGAAATCTAGCCTAATAGAGTTTAACAAAACAAAAAACACAACTCTTGAAACAGCTTCAGATCCCTTTATTCTTCAGGCAAACATTTGGGTTATCCATTTAAATAGTATGTTAATGCTTTTATTTTATATTTTTAATCAAGCTCTAGTGAATATTCACCGTCATGGGTTTCATCATGCTAAAACTATACATATCTATCACATTCGGTGAAAAGGAGAGTGTTTTCCAAAAGAGGAAATACATGTATCTACAGTACCAATGAGCACAAAAAACACATGGTTTAATTAAGATTTCATCAAACTTTACAAATGGCAACAAAGGCAGTCACACCAATGAAAAAATTTAGTAATGAATTTATCTTTACATTTGGCAAATTTATGTCTTGAAGAATTTTTTAAAAGAATACAACTATATACATTATTCAGTATCCTCAAAATAGGAAGATATTAAATAGTAACAAACAAGTGAACAAAAATAGGAATAATAAACTTAACAGTTTGTATTACCTACATGGAGATAGACTCTGAACAGGTAAAACTCTAACAAGACTGTCATGGAAACTACCCTGTACAGGTTTAGTGAACTTTGTTCATTGCATTTTTTTTGCAACTGTGTGGTGAGAGAGGTAAAATTTGGAGGTCACAGGATAGGTAGAACTAGCCAAAAACATGCTGCTGCACAAGGAAAGAACAAGATCCCATCTTTCCAATTCCAGCTATACTGGAGACAACTGGAATGGCAGATAATTCATACTTCAATATTGGTAACGAGACAGTGCTCGTCAATGCACCAAAGGGCAGCAGGTAGGATATGGGGTACAGGATTGCTCTCATGTCATGCACAACTCTGTCCTCCAACATTTTGCTACTGCCCTCAGGATCTGCTGCCTGAGGTAGCCATGACATTCTGCCTAATACTTAAGGTTGGTCCTGAGGAAGGCCCACCTCTTCTAAAGTTGCATTTATGTTCAAATGAAGCCACTGGCAATGGTGCGGCTAAAAAAATATTGTAAATAAAATGAAAAGTCAGGGGCAGCTATGGTCTGAATAGAGGTGAAGACCTCATTCTGAAAGGATGAAGGAGACATCAGACTCCTATGAAAGTAGTGACAGACTCAGTTAAATCAAATTACTTTGCTTTCAGTGGGACTCTCTCTTTACTCATCATTCCAGGATTGTTATACCCAAACTCATCAACCTAGGGGGTCACACTATATGCTACAGATGGCATGTCACTAGAATTTGAAAGAATGTTGGCATTCTAGAGATGTCCTTCCAACAGACCTGGAACAATTGTAATTACAAATACAATCTGGTTTACCTCACAATGGCCCATCACAAAACAAAATGGACTCATATGCAGACTAGAGAAGATATGAAAAGCTCCTCCTGTTACAATCACAGAACTTTTAGCACCAAGGAATTCCCTTCTCCAATGACATGCTGTCTGTAACGTGTAATTTGGCTCTTGGGCAAAAAATGTGGGTTTACTTCCAACTGATCTGTTGTAAGTGGCTTAAAGATCAATAAAAGGTTAACGAAGAAGAGAAAAATGAATGACACATTCACATGATAGGGTAAAAATGAAAGACATGTTCACTTTTCCAAGGTCTGTATTTTTAACTGTTTATAAATCATCTGGCATTGGGATGGGAACTGAATTGGTATAGCTTACCAATAACTCCAATGTACTCAGAGTTATAAAAATAAAGTGTTACAAAGAGCTGCAAAAGGGATCTGTCCAAATCGGATGAATAGGCAATAAAATGACACAATGTGAATCAATATCAGGTATAGGCAGTTCCATCCTCCCATGGCAGCAGTGAACAGGAAAAGGCATGACTGTCCAAACAAAACAATCAGGGAACTGGTGCAACTCCCTTACTAGGAAAAGATATGAATGGTTGTGGATTTTTTGGACTGTTCAGCCATGTTCTGAAGGTTTTTCTTCCTAACGTTTTGCCAGTCTCTGTGGCTGGCCTCTTCAGAGGACAGGAGCTAGAACTCTATCTGTATTCTGGTGTGGTGTGTGGGATTGTTGAGTATTTGTAGATGTGGGATCAGTGTTTGTTTTTCAGGAGATGGGGTATATTCTGTGCTCAGGGTGTTTTTTGTTATGGGTGTTTTGTTGTGATAAGGGTGGCAGATTATCTGTCACTGTGATTCATGGGTGTTAGCGTTAGGAAGAAAAACCTCCAGAACACAGCCAAACAGCCCGAAAAATCCACAACAACCATCAGATCAAAGCCTTTGATAATAAAAAAAAAAAGACATAAAGTTTGGGGTTTCTTAGCTTAGAAAAATGGTGCATAAATGGGGGGATATTGGAAGAATATGGAAAATTACTGGCCTTCATAAAAGGTTTGCACAACTTGTGAGGCAGTGCCAGGGTACATGTCAGTCATTTACTCAACTGTGCAGTTGAGATGCAGTCTGGTAACTCATCCATCAGCTGCAATTTGCCATTGCACAATTACTACCACCTTCTGCGAACACCATTATCCCAACATTTGGTGATGGCCAACAACCAAGAAAGCTTACACTGATTTATGGACAATAAGGCTATCAATGGCCACTAGTCATATGGATGTTCTTTTAAAATCCTGTGGAGATGCTGTCCCCAGGTGACAGAACCATGCATTTCTTAATGGTCCATTTAATTGGGGATATAAAAGAACTGAGTCTCTCACACACCTACATTTCATACATGTGTGGTCTAGGGTTTAGATGACGAACTTACATTCCACCAGTTTCAACTACTGTAAGCTGGGCCCAACCCTATCTATGAATCATAGGAGAGCATCTGACTTGTTTTCTGTCATGCATAAAATATAATAGGTGGCATTCAGGTCCACACATAGAACTGCCAGAGATCTGTGCCATGCATCCCTGCCAAAATAAAAGGCAGGTACTTTACTAGATTTGGACTAAACATGCAGCGTTTTCATTGTGCGTTATGCTCAGTATGTGGTAGGAGGCAGGCCAATGCCAAAAACCTGCTCCTATTCTTCGTGGTTGGTCTGGACCTCCATTATCCTGTGGCTGCTCTGCTCCACAAGCTGCTCTAAGCATAATGGATGAACAAAGCCTTCAAACCATTACCATCATAGACAAGAACATTGAGCGTAAACTGATTCACATTGATCTATAACGATTACACTGAAGAGCTTCATCTCTCATATGATGGAGATCTGCTACAACACAGAAGGCCAGCAAGGCCATGAATCAGCAAAAGTTTGTTATCTAGATACATAAATCTTACCATGCAGAAGAAAAAAAATGTTAGTTTAAGTTTAATCCCTTAAACAGTCAAACCATCATAACCATATATAAAGCAGCTTTAAAAATATTATTTTGAAGCTTGGGGGCTCTGCTGACCTGCATGTATTGCCAATATTTTCCTTTTAACAAACTATATTCATTATCATCATTCCCCAGGCCTAATAGGCGCCTACTCAGATAAAACCACATTTGGCTGTTAGAAGAATAAATTGTGTCCTTGAATGCTTATCGACTACCCTAGATCATCTGGAAGCAATTAGAACACTTATAAATGATATTTAATGTAATGTCAACTGCACTGTGAACGTGTTTAAATTTTTTTTTTACAACACACACAATGAGGAACCACGACACTCCTGAATATTGGAGAACAAATATTAAGACTACAGGAGGTAGTTTTATTCTGTAAAGCCCAAAATAGTCTTTTGGCATTTGAAAACTTGGATGGCTTTGTGACATCACATGTGTACTGGTTTGGGAAGTTTCTCATTAGCATTCCACTGGCAAGCTGCGTTTGTGATAGCTAAGCATTGCTCTCACCTTGTCACCAGGACTATCTGCTCTCTACCCCAGCCTACTGATCTTATTAGCTTTATTCAGACATAAAATGAATTGTTTTTTTTTTTAAAAAACCATGAATGACTGGATAGGGCTTTAATTGTAATGGGGACATAAGCCTCAAAATAATAAGGTTCCTGCTCATGGGAGCTCTATAAGCATGTTCAGTTAAACACACTTCCGTGTGACTCTTCAGGCATTCATATGGAATATGGAAAAGTATGACTGCCTTCCACATGGCAAGGAATGTAAGGGCAGGGCTTAGATGCACCCTTAGGCCCCTCTGCAGTTACAAATCTACCTGCTTGTTTAGGCAAGCGCCAAAAGAAGGCTGTTGACTTCTTAACCTACCTACTCATTATGATGGAAACAAATCATTCAGAAAATGATGACATTGCATGCTTCAATGTGTGCTGTTGTTCAACGTGGCCAAGGAATGGAAAGCAGCTTCATGCACATACTTCAGCTGCTGTGCTTTGCCATTCCATGTATTGTTCTGTCATGCCTGCAACGGCACTATGAAATATCAGACCAGGAGGACACTGTAACTCTGAAGGTGTTACTTTTGTGGATCATGCCTTACAACTTCTTTTGTAATACAGTGGTGCCTCGCATTACGATTGCCCTGCATTAAGACGAAACCACATTACGATCATCTTTTTGCGATCGCAATTGCAATTGCAAAACTATGGTCTGAATGGGGTTTTTTTGCTTTGCAATGATTGGTCCTCTGATGCTTCGGGAACTGATTCTTCACAAAACGACGATTTTCGGACAGCTGATCGGTGGTTTCAAAATGGCCGCTGGGTAAATAAAATGGCTCCCTGATGTTTTCTGGGACGGATTCCTCGCAAGACAGCCACTGAAAATGGCCGCCCTATGGAGGATCTTCGCTGGACGGTGAGTTTCGAGCCCATTGGAACGTATTGAAGGGGTTTCAGTGCGTTTCAATGTGCTTTTTATTTTCGCATTATGATGTTTTCATTCTACAGCAATTTTGCTGGAACAAATTAACATCGTAATGCGAGGCACCACTGTATTAATAATAACATCAGCGACCCTACGGCAACCCTTTCCAGGGTTTTCTACGTAGAAAATACTGAGAAGGGGTTTACCATTCCCTTGTTCTGGGGGTGCCCTGGGACTGTGCAGTTTGCCCAAACCTACACAGGTTGGCTCATCTCCATGAAGGCACAGTGGGAAATCAAATGCCCAACTTCACTCAGCTATCCAGCCGGCCCTGATTTCCTCCCACCAGCACAGCAAGTGCCCATGCTAACTTGAGCATTATAGTCCAATAAAAGTAACTTTCCCAAGCTCTTTGATAGCCATGCACTTCAGCAGAGTTATTCCTTGGAAGAAGAAGAAAACAGTGGTAGGTTTACAAATGAGAGGGCAAAATCTCTCAAAGACAGAGGTTACCTGGAGGCAGAACAAAAGGGGTAAAATTGTGGCAGGAAGCAATTACTCCAAGAGAACATTTACCTTATGGAGGCTGCCAATGAGACAAGATAAATATGAAATCTGGTTAAGTCTTAAAATAAGCTTCCCTACACAAACTTTCATTTTCAGAAATATCACTTCAAATAATACAGGCGATGGGAATGTGACCTGGAAGTGTTGCTTTTTCACATCGTGCCTGTTAGGCTCCCAAAACCTGTTTCATTACAATGAAGTCAGGGTCAGGAATGGTTTGCGTGGTGTGCCAAATAGTCTCTTAGAGGAACCAAATGAGCAGAAGACCTGATCCAAGGTGGAAAGAAGCAAAAAAAAAGGAAACGGAAGCCACATTTACCGAAGCACACCGGAAAGGAATCCTACAGGCTGCCCCCAAAGCCTCAGATTCAGCCTGACTGAAATGTCTTCTGGACAGCTGATAGTTTCCAGGAGGTTCACCCAGTAACTAAGTGGCTTTATAATTTCTTTGACCTAGCTGTATCTTGTGACTCTATGGTAGAAGGTGTAGCAAGAGATAATGATGGGGAACCCTGGTAATCTTCCTGAGTGGCTACATGCATACCAAAGTAATTTACTACTAGGTACTAGTCACACATGGTTTAGAGCACCATTCCTTTGCCCTCATTTTACAATGTTAATTAAGGTCAGTGGATGCAAAGTATGAGGGGGCACAGGCCTACAGATGCCACTTCTGCCCCCAAACATTCCTGCTGGCTCGACTCCTGCCATCCCACCTTGAGTGGGGAAAGATGGAGGCAAATCTTCAGGCCCCCAAGAGTAACTCATCATACAGACAGGCAGCCTAAAGCATGTTTCACTGAAGGGCTAAGCAGTACCTTCAAATGAAAGGGGACACTGAGGCTGTTGCATGCACTTCCATACACTCCCCATATGCATTCTATAAATGGATAAATAGCACAATTTGAACACTGGATGCAGAAGGTATGGGTAACACATGCTTCTCTGCATTCTGAATGTTGCATTCAGAATGTATTCTGGGTCTGTATAATTCTTTCTGTGAGAATCCATACTGATAATTCCTCCAGCAGTTGAGCCTAGGCTTGTAATGGGGATTTTCCTCCACATATGTTCTTAGGCTTTCTTTTACCATAGTTTATATTTGCAAATTCAATCATATAGGTTGAAATCTATCTACTCACAGTAGTTACAATTTCCTTTCATTAGTTAGTATGACTTTAAGCTAATCTAGATTTTCACGCTAGTTCTGCCCTTCATTTTGACCCAGAAAGCTGCCCCCTCTGGCCTGTTTTCCTTATTCTACACAAATCTAAAACACATTACAGCTGAATTGAAACTTTTTTTAAAAAGTCCCACTGATCTCAGTTGAAGTCTTCAAAACATCCTTACGTTCCTTCCAACTGAAGACAATGAAACTTTAAAAAGTTAAAATTTGGCTAGTGCATGCTTTCATTTTGCTCCCGCACTCAATGTTTGTTAACTTTTCTAAAGATGATTCCCATCTTTGAAAGGGTACACCAAGGGACACAGGGACATCTGCAGCTGTTTAGCAGCATCTGAATCTCCCCCTCCCCTTTTTTTTTGGCTGTAATGATTTTATCTTGGCTTTCTTCTTTTACACAGAGACTTTATCAGGTCAAAGGGGTTGGGAAGGAAGATTATACTCAATTAACCCCACTCTGAACTAACTATATACCCAGTACAGTTCTGTGCATCTTTACTCAGAATTTCACCCTTTGAACCTACTGGAACTTACTCCCAGGAAAGCAGTTACTTTGGTTGGACCATATCTTCCCTGGGATTCCACCTCAGCAGCTCCATCATTAGAAATTATTCTCCCAAACATTCAAAGAGTTAGGGTTTGCAGAAGTAACTTTTCCAGGTTCTGCAGGAAATTATGTGTGGGGTTGCAAATAAGATTATCACTCCCATGATACTCTCAAGAGTACGACTGACATCAGCTGGGTTTTCCCCTCAATGTAATGTACCGTAAACAGAGAAAACCATATATATATAACATATATAAAAGTTGATAGAAAATATGTGTATGAACATAGCCTGAACTCGCTTTTCCTCCTAACCCAAACTCGGTCTTGTACATCTCCTCTTGCTCAATTCCAAGATGGAGGGTCAGTGCATCACGTGAGAATCTGGGTTAAGGCAAATCACTGGCTTTATACAGTTAAAAGTAAGGATGTGTCAGTGGGCACTTCACCAATGAAATCTCTTTGGATTTGATGTTTAATTTTTCCTCTTTAGCTTAGGTAGGTTGCACTTTATGATTTTTAAAAAATGTCTTGTACCAGACCTGCCTGACTATTGTTGTTTTTTTTCAATGCTCTCAGCAGGAAAACAAACAAATAAACAAAACACAAAGTATTTGGTACCCTTGAGAGAGGGTACTATAAAGGGTGTGTGTGTGATGCTCCAAGATATAACCTTAGGATCCAGGCAACTGATTTCTTCGGTTCCGACTTTTCCTGCTGTTGATGAGGGCCTTTAATTTGCCATAATCCCCCCTCAACTTCTGGGACTCTTCCGCCTGCTGCCCAAGTTGCCTTGTGTCTTTGCAGTATTGATTGATCAACTGCAGTTCTGAATGGCTGATGGATCCAGCCAAGTCCTTGGGATGAAACTGCAAAGCCTGGAGTGAGCTTGCCCAGGTCCATGGGGACCATTTTTCAGTCATGAAAGCCACCATATCTGAATCTAACACCTTGAAGTTCACCTTCGCTATCGTCTGTTTGAAGTTGTTCTCTGTCGCAATGCAGTGGTAAAGCCCCCGGTCTGCCTCCTGAACGGAACGAATTAAGAGCCCTTGCGCAGTTGCGATGATTCTCTCATTAAGTTTGACCTAAAGGAGCAACACAGACAACACGTGTTCTTAATGGCATGGTTGGGAACAAGGAATACAGCAAGACTAAGATTTAGTTTTCAAAAATAGATTCATTATAAGCATGGTGTTTTTCTTCCACCAGTCACAAACATCTGGCTTAGGATGCACCCGGAAGCTTAAGAGCTTTGCAGAAATATATTTAACATTCTAAATTTAAAATGCTGGCCTCTTTTATGCCCCAACCATTACATGTAAATGTAAATGCTGGGACACACTTATTTCATGTGGACACACTGTTGTGCTTTGCAGAAGAAATGTGTGGGGGGGGACTACCCCGTAGGGCTTACATCCTCCTCAGACAGGAAGCATGAACCCCGAACCCTTTGGTACTCTGTCCTACCGGAACAATCCTTGTGAGGAGAGAGACAGAATCGAGCTAGAGAGAGGCACGAATCTACATTTTGGTGGTTGCTGCCAGTTTATTTCTTGGCCGAACAGGTGTTCGCCGCTTCCCAGCCCTGCCTCCTCTGTTTCCCAGTCAGAGGCAGCATCCAGAGGAGGCGGGGCAGGAAAGCCAGACACTGCCTCTGGGTGGGTGCCCGCCAGAGAAAGCAAGGCTGGGAAGTGCCAAACAATTGTTTGGTTGAGAAATGAACTGGCACAGACTACCAAATCGGAGGTTTGTGCCCATCCCTAAATTGAACCCAAAGCCAAACACACACACACACACACACACACACACACACACATGTGTATATATATTTTATTTTTTAAATTTTCAAAAACAAAAACAAATACAAAAATACAAAATACTACTCTACAATCTAAACCACCCTGCATCCCATACCTATGGGACCCCTTGGAACAATACTTTTAATATGAACTTCCTTTCCAAAATTGTATTGATTGTTGTTTAGAGGCTTTGCCCTTTCCTTTCACTAATACAAATTCAACAATTCCACCCCAAATAGCATAAACATATTTGAACTTATTTCCCCTCTTTTCATCTTAAGTTCAGTAGTCAATTTGTCATTTAATGCAATGTCTCATACTTCATTATACAAATCTTCTACTAATTTAATATCATTTTTATCTTTCCAGAATCTAGCTATTAATATTCTAGCACTTGTCGTAAAATTGGAAATCAATTCTTTTGAACATTAATCAAGTTCTATCTTATCAAAAATTGACAACAAAGCAATTTTAGAATTGAATTCAATATATTTTCCAAATCTATCACATATTTCCTTAAAAATCCAAAATTTCTGAATCCATTGACACTCCCACCACATATGATAATACATGCCAATTTCTTCATCACTTTTCCAACAAGCCTTAGAATAGTCTGAATTTATTATATTCAATTTCACCGGAGTCATATACCACCATAAACTAATTTTAATTTTTCCCTTTATTCTTATCAACATTAATCTTAAATCTGTCATCTTCCAAATTTTTATCCAATCCTCTTTTTTAATTCTGTCTTTAAATCATTTTCCCAAACTGATTTCAAACCTTCTGTTTCTGTCTCTTTTTCCTCTTGTTCCAAAACTAGGTTATAAATTTTACTTAGTACTCCCTTCGTCAAAGCACTTTTCTGCATGTCTTTATGTGATGATAGAAATTGTTCGTACTTAGTACATTCTCTACATTTGCCAGTAGTTTTCAACCATTCATTTATCCAACTATCTAATTGGATATAATTATACCATGATAATTTATTAGTTTGAAATTTAACTATAATCTGATCCTTCAATCTCATTTTAATCATCCAATCCTTCAATCTGGCAACTTTTTTGTCCTTAAACATATCAACTAAACCGTTCAGGTTTGCTGGGAAATTTTCTATTTTGGTCACTAATTTTATTGGTGAAGTAAAGGGACATAACTTCTTTTTATTTTTGTTCCAGATATTTAACATGTTTCTTAAAAAAGGGGAGTTCACCTGATTTATTGTATTTCTTTTTACTACATTAAACAAATATTTTTCAATATTCTCATTTATATCTGAGGATTCCATATCCCACCAAATTAACCTTCCTTTGTTGTATATAATATCTCCAATAAATCTTAACTGATTCACTATGTAATATTTTTTTATATTAGGAATACCTAAACCTCCATTTTTTTTAGCCTTATACCAATATCTTTTATTTATTTTAGATTTTTTACCTTGATTACAAAATCCATTAATTAATCCCTGCCAATAGTTAAAATCTTCTAATTGTATTGGGAGCATCCTGAATAAAAAAAGTAATTTTTGGTAATATTTTCATTTTGATCATGGCTATTCCCCCAAACCACAATAGTTTCAATTTAGAATACTCCTGTAATTTATCTTTAATATCACTTTTTAATTTATTAAAATTTTGCTCCTTTAATTTTTGAGTCACTTTAACTACATTTATACCTAAATATTTAATGTAATTATACATTTTAAAACCATATTTATTTACAAATGTTTCTTCTTTATGTTTATTATAATTAAACATCATTATTTGTGTTTTTTGCCAGTTAATAATTAATCCTGTTATTTCCCCAAATTTTTCTAAATGATTTTTAATATTACCCATACTTTCTAATGGGTTTTTAATGGTCAATAATGAGTCATCAGCAAATAAATTAATCATAATTGCATCATTTTCCCTAATCCTTTAACTAATTCATCATTTCTTATTGCATTAGCTAACAGTTCTATAACTATACAAAACAATATTGGTGAAAGTGGACACTCTCTGGGAGTCTTTAAGTGATCTTCTGATCTCTCAGCTAAGCAAACAGAAAACAGAGGAAAGACATCACCCCCAAATGCATCTCTCCCACTCATTTACTTGCTTTCCACTTTTACTCATTCAATCATCTTTACTTATGGCTTGTTTACACAATTTTCTTACTGCTTTTGCATTGCCAGGGAGAAGATGATCTTTTCTATACGCAAAGACTCCTCATTTGATTTCTTTAGTGTAATGAGACACCTGGTTATCCTCAAACCTGTGTGGTTTATGCATACAGTTGCTTAATTCACTTCCTTATTAATTTTAATTGCTATTTTTGCAATTAGAAGAGGGAAATCTAATTGAAATGTCATACATAAGGACAAGCTTGGTTCCAGAGCTGATCAGAATGCCTAAATATGACTAACCTAAGCCCAATCAATTTAAAAAGGACTGCTCAAAAAATGACTGGATCTGGTCCCAAGTAAATATACCTGTAACGCTAGCTAACCTCAACAGGAATATCATCCAACAGGAGCTTTTAATTTCCAAAGGCTACTGTGTTTCTCAATGGGCAAGGAAAGGTTGAAACAAGTAAAGCAATGCATGTTACTCCTCCTCTTTGTGTAAATAACAGAGGGCAGAACTTGACAAATACACTGCATTCTATTATTCATCCATGACCAGTGGTATTACAAGAGAAGATTTTCCCCTTACAGGGGAACTGCCTGAGGCAGGAAAACAGAAATAATTTCACCTTTTGTTTCACCAAAAGTAGATTGATAAACAATTACACTGTATTTTAGAAAGCTGACATTTGAGAGCTTTGGAGAGGACAGTAATGGAAAATGTGATTGCATCACAGTCAGGAACATTCTTGTTGCAGGAAGTATTTTTAGTTCAGACGAATTCCTTGTCTACAGAAACTTTCTGTATCATCTTCCTCCCCCAACGTCTCAGACTTCATTTCTTTGCTGGACTCCTGAATGTTAGGCCTGCGCATAGAGGGTGCAATGCCAAATGCATCACTTTTCAGTCCTCAGTGTTTTCAGTGGAAGAGGCATATGCTTAAATCCCATGTCCCAACATTTATGTGGCCTTTAAGAGGCTTAATCTGGATCTTGCAGAAGATGTTCATTGTCATGAGAATATGTCCAGCACCCTAGATGTGGCATCCACATGAATCAAATTCATTAAGTTACAACAGCTTGCATCATATCCATGAATCAGCTTCAGCTGTGGGCCAAAACTATAAAACCTAAGAGAATTAAGAATGCAACACCAAGAAAACATTGAACTATGATATATGTAGAGAGCACTGAAAGTTTCAAGAGGATGCTAACAAAAATGTATCCTATATACACAACAGTGGCAGGGAAGGCAGGGATCTTCAGACCGTAGCCCCCAACTGCATTTCCAAGATGAGGGGCATCTGTGTCCATTCACACAACTGCTCCTCATTTTTCTCAAGGGGAAGGACCATACAGATTGTATGGGCTTATGGCTCACATTACATTATGGCAAACATTCATGCTCCCCCAATGTACATAGGGTTCGCTCCGGTATGCAGATTTATGTTTCCTCATTAGGATGAACTGCTTTTATATGGTTCCATATGGAATCACTAATGCACGTTAGAATCCCAGCCTACTCAAGCAGTTTTTAAAAACTGCTTAGGGATGTGAAAATCTCCTAGTTTCATTTTTGTTGCATTTCTCAAGACCACACTGGCATTCTCATTCTGTTTCAGTTTCCTATCAAGTTGTGTAGCCTGCCCAGCAGCTTTTCCATAAGGAAATTTATGTATATGTGAGTACTGATTTTCCCCAATGTACATACTTTAAAGGATTCCCAGTGTGGTATAATGGATAAAGTGACAGACTAAGACTCTGGAGAACAGGATTCAAATTCCCACTTGGCCATGGAACCTCACTTACGGGAGTAGAACTGGAAAACCACTCCTTAAATATCTCACTTACTTTGAAAGCCCTATTAGGGTCCTTCTAAGTCAGTTCCAGCTTGACAGCACAGAATACACAAACATGCATTAAGGCATTTTATCAACCGACCAAAGCCCTTCTAAGTCAGTTCCAGCTTTACAGCACAGAATACACAAACATACATTAAGGCATTTTATCAACCGACCAAAGCTTCTAAGTCAGTTCCAGCTTGACAGCACAGAATACACAAACATGCATTAAGGCATTTTATCAACCGACCAAAGCATTAGTGCACATTTTTCAAATGAATGCATGTTCAACTATGCACACTTTTCAAGTATATGCATTGTTTTATGTGCCTTATTTCTTTATGAAGATGCATCACAAGTGTTGGAATGAAGAGATTTCCAAAGCAAGACACACTTCATTCAGCTGCTAGCATTGCCACTAGAAAAAAAAGAAGAAGAATGCAACTCCAATAAATTCCTTTCCTATTCCTCACCCTGACTGTTAATCAATGTAGGTAGTTGAAGATCTCTGGAGTTTTGGTTTGTCTACAGTCTTAAGTACTCATAAGAGTTCTTGGCACGGTATTGTAGCAGTCAAACCATACTTTGTCACATGTGGTTCCAGTGCAGGTGTATCTTTACTGATCATGTTTTATAGGAGCAGCAGACTTCACTACTATAACTAGGCTCCTGAAGGAGTGGCTCCTGATTGAGTGGCCCTGTTCTCCTTTGAACCTGCAGTGCTTGTAATCTGTATGCTCACCTCTTTTCTTCTGTCGTTGTCCTTCTGTAAGAGCCACTTCACAGAGGCCTGTGGAGATTTAGGAGTGCATTCAAGGAAGGTGGTGTTATTCTTGACTCCATACTGAATGACCTCAGCTGCATTTCGGTAACCTATAATGTGAGGGAGCCCAGATTAGAATGATGCCTCCGTTCCTGCTGACTTGGAAATGGATTACGGTCTTTACTAAACTGGCAAGTAAATGATCATACTTGAAATCAGGATGATCTCGTTTAGACCAAACAGGAGAAGTTCCAGGAAGGTACAGCTTTACTTTATGAACAGTTAGGTCACTTGAGACTGTAGTCTCTTACAGATAACTATATTATCTAGTCATACTCCATTTTATAATCCTAGAACTGCAAAGGTGGAAAGAATCCTACGGATCATCAAGTCCACTTCCTGTCAAAGTGGCACAATGGAGAATCAAACTTCCAAACTCTGGTTTTGCAATCAGATACCTTAACCCCTAAGTAAACTTCTCATGAATTATAGTGAGCAAGACATGGTGTGTGTGTGTGTGTGTGTGTGTGTCTTATCTCTGGAGTTTTGGTTTGTCTGCAGTCTTAAGTACTCATAAGAGTTCTCGGCACGGTATTGTAGCAGTCAAACCATACATTGTCACATGTGGTTCCAGTGCAGGTGTACCTTTACTGATCATGTTTTATAGGAGCAGCAGACTTCACTACTATAACTAGGCTCCTGAAGGAGTGGCTCCTGATTGAGTGGCCCTGTTCTCCTTTGAACCTGCAGTGCTTGTAATCTGTATGCTCACCTCTTTTCTTCTGTCGTTGTCCTTCTGTAAGAGCCACTTCACAGAGGCCTGTGGAGATTTAGGAGTGCACTCAAGGAAGGTGGTGTTATTCTTGACTCCATACTGAATGACCTCAGCTGCATTTCGGTAACCTATAATGTGAGGGAGCCCAGATTAGAATGATGCCTCCGTTCCTGCTGACTTGGAAATGGATTACGGTCTTTACTAAACTGGCACGTGAATGATCATGCTTGAAATCAGGATGATCTCGTTTAGACCAAACAGGAGAAGTTCCAGGAAGGTACAGCTTTACTTTATGAACAGTTAGGTCACTTGAGACTGTAGTCTCTTACAGATCTAGTCATACTCCATTTTATAATCCTAGAACTGCAAAGGTGGAAAGAATCCTACGGATCATCAAGTCCACTTCCTGTCAAAGTGGCACAATGGAGAATCAAACTTCCAAACTCTGGTTTTGCAATCAGATACCTTAACCCCTAAGTAAACTTCTCATGAATTATAGTGAGCAAGACATGGTGTGTGTGTGTGTGTGTGTGTGTGTGTGTGTGTGTGTGTGTGTGTGTGTGTATGTGGTATGTAAAATGATAGTGACACACCTAAATTCTTTAAACAGTTGAAATTATTGGTTTCGGGGGTGGGACCTTCATCATCAGAAAGAAAAAAAAACTTACTAATTTCATGATTTCTTGGTGGTGCCTTTAAAGGGAACAGAAATTTTAATCAGTGCATTCCAGAGGCCCCTGTTGGGGCACAGGGGAGTGGGGAGTTGTCACAGTAACAGGACTGGCAGTCAGTATGAAGGTAACACAAGAGCAATTACCCCATTTCTCCAAATGTGACTGGCTGTATGGTATTGTGACGCCATTTCATTACACTATTCCTGATGGGCTGTAATCACTCTAAAGAAGAGAAATATCTAAAACAAATGCCCAAGAAGTAGAAGCCAAGGAGGAAGAGTGCCTGGGAAGGGAGCCACAAGAGGCTGAAGGGCTTAAGAGGGGAAGAAATTTTGAATTTTGCTCTGAATGTTTCGGAGATAACATTCGGCACCCCTATTAAAAAACTTGATGGGTTTGTTCCACAACTATATTATTTTGGAAGCCAATGGTAATTTTAAAATCTTAATATCTTTGAGAATGTGAACAGAATGTTTGCAGGAACCTACTAGTCTGACATTCCACTTTCTAGAAACTAGAATATCACTGAAGTAAAAATCCAATCAAGAAATTCAAAACATGTGCCCTCATATGACCTTAAATGCTGGAATCAAATGCAAAGTGAGCACCTGGTAAATTAGGGGGGCATGGAAGAAATTCTATATTTTTAAAAATAAAAGAGTATAACTATTTAAGATTTTGTATTTGTCCATTTATTTTAGTTATGCTATTTTGTTACTAAATAGGTTTATACCTCGGATTTTGAGCAATGACCACTCCAGGATTTTAGGTGAACCTCAGACAGGAACCCTAAGTAAAGTGTCTTCAATGGCATTCATACTGAGCTCTACAACTTGGAAGAGTTATTTTGCTTAGACTACAACTCCCAGAATCCCTTTAACTATATTGGTTGGTCCAAAGAAGGTCTGTTGAGAACAGCACCACTGTAGCAGCTTCTATGAAGGTCTGACCTTCTATTTATCTCAGGCTACCCTAATACTGAGAACATAAGTCCATGGCACCCTTGAACCATTCTTCTAAAGTCAAAGTGGCCAACATTTGGCTGCACAGGTCAATTAGCTTAAAGAATCAGATGGTCTTTCCTTTAAGGCAGAAGGATAAATTATTTGGTGCACATGGTTGGCTTGTTTTACATACAGACCATTTATTTTTAGACTCAAGGGAGGAAAAAAAATCTATAAATTCCTCCAAACAAACATAACACAAACAAAAAGAAGAAAATGCTTAAAATGTATGAGAGCTCTATTGTCTTTACCAGTAAACCACACAGACAGTATGATTCATTTAAGAGCAGCCACATGTTTTTATAACCCAACCCTCTTTCAGTTCAAAGTACCTTTTAGGTTAAATCCCCGGCATTGAGTCATAGGGTTTCCATGCCTCACATCTTGTCTACGACTTCTCCTAAGATGTTACAGAAAAGGGGGCGGGGGTAGAGAACAAATATTAAATTTTCAAAGCCACTTAGTTGCTGAGACAAAAAGGCCAATGAACTTTCTATAAAACATACCCTGCTATAATATATGCAGATTCAATAATACAGTATATTTTAACCATACTTCACTATTTTTATATCCATGGTATTAACATTCCAAATGAACTAATATATCAAATGATGATCAATACCAGTTTATAGTGTTATTTTAAAGATATTATTTCCTTCATATGGCAGGATGGCAATTGGTTTTCAGTGGGCTGTATCACCTACAAGCCTACTGTATATTTAGTGAAATTTCATGGCATTGTGAAAACTGTCAGAATTGTAGCAATGAACACAGCCTCTGTGGCACAAATAGAATGCTTATCAACTTCCCTGTGAAGTTGATGGCATAGGAAAAGAAGAGGAAACAGTTGGGCTGCCTGATGCCAGAAGTATCTTTCTGGGCCACAGGATAGACTATAGGGACCTGAATCACGTGACTCTCAGTAAGATCTAATTATGTTGGCAAGCACAAGAGATAGTCTTTTCTGTGGTGGTCCCATATTAGTGAAATGCCCTGCAGTGGGCAATATGTCGCTGAGTACTTTTAATTGAATAAATTAAATTAAATCAAATTAATTGAATAAATCGTAGATGTCAGTTTTTATTTTAAGTTTCTTACTTTTTTTGTTTGTTTGTTCAATCAAGCATGCAAAAGCTGTAGCAATTAGAGGCAGGCTGAGAGGCTCTCTTCCCCCACCAACTACATTCTGCCCCATTTCCAGTGAAGAGAATCTCAGAGGGCTTTGCCACACTGTAAAGGACTGGAGTGGATTTTAGAAAAAAGACATAGATTCCAGTGGGAAGATATAAGCACTCAAACTTTGTTTCTGAAGAAAGATTGTGAAACGGGCAGGATTGCTCAAGGCATACCAGAAGCCCAAGGCTCGTCAGACACAAACCATTGGGACCTTTGGAAATATTTGGAAAACAATGGATTTATGAAAACCGCATTGTGGTTGATAACAACACTTTATGATTGTACTACAATAAGAAGTGTTAATGATTATAAAGAAGTGAGTTGCAAGAGCCTTTGTCATAGAATGCTACATGTTGCATTAAGTAACATCAGATCATATGTATCTATATATCTGTGTGCAGTGTTAGTAGAGGGAAAATGATTATTAAGGAAACACATGAATATGAACTTAGAAAGCAAATAATTATATGGTTATACATGGAGGTTTCCATATTTGTACATTTCCTTCCCATGACCTCTGTGTAAACATCTCAGTCAATGGCAGGCAAGGGAGGGAGGAGAGTATCTAAAAGTGCCCTTTTAGGGGATCGGGGGGGTGTATTGGGGGAAAGCACACAGTATGTGTGTTTGTCTGTTCTCTGTGGAGGTGGTGTGGAGGCAGCGTAAAAGTGCATCTGTGGGGTGAAATGTGCAACAGAGATGTCTGCACAGGTGTCTAGATGGGTAGGGAAAGTGTATCAATATGCTCACATATCTAAAAAAAAGTAGTTTCTCATCCACCTGGGGATTCGGCCTTCAGAGATGAAAAGATGTACGGGCCTCCTTTTAAAATGTTTAATACTATGGTTTATGTTACCTGTAGTTTAATTTATAGCTTGAAAATATTGTAAACTGTCTTGAAAAGGCTTAAAAATAAAATAAAGTGGTTGACATTATTTGATATTCTTTGTTTCTTCCAGTGTGATCCACTCTGAAGTAAAAAAAAAACCCTTACTTTATTTTATTAGCTTGTAACTGGCCATTCTGTCTCAGGTATTCTGGAAGTTGTAGTAAAAAAAGTAACTTTTCCCACATCTGGGTCAATTGGCATATTTCCTCACTTGAAAATGAACTCTTTTTCTAAAACCTTGCCTTAACAAATGGCCAGAAGTAGCCTACTATGCATCTCAAAAGCAAAATGTTGTAGAAGAGCACTTTCAGTCTGTTAGCCATCAATCTCTATCATCTAGGTCAAAACCTGAGTGAGGTGCTTTGCCCTTTTCAAGACAGATCATAGGCAGGCAAAAACACAAGATGCTCCTAGGGATTCCAGCATTGCTTGTTAATTTCCTTCAGAAGATCAGTGAATGTACGATGTAGATGTTTTAAAGGAGTCTATCAACCTAGTGACAGCCAGTATGGTAGAGGGGATACAGTGTTGGCCCAAGACGCTGCAAATATGGCTTCAAATTTCCACTCATCCATGGAAACTTACTGTGAGGAGGAAATGTTAAACCACTCACTGAATTCCTCATGTATCTCAAAAACCCCTATTAGTAGTGGGGTGGGGGGAACATAAAGCAGAAGTTACTTAATGGTACATAACAATAAACCAAGTCCAGAACTGAGGACTATAAAACTTGGTTCCGGATGATATGCTGTGGATGCCTTTTGAAGAGCGGGGAGAACATGATCAGATATTTCAAGGCCTTGTTCTGTGAATAAAATTTAGTAGAGGTCTAAAAGGGCAAAAACAAACAAATAAGCCAAGTTACTATTATAGTCTAGACTTAAAAGACTTGAGTTGGCTCCTGTTACAGATGTTTTCTCAGTCATAATGTGTTTTTTTATAGATAAAAGAACAACTTATTTCCTAAACCAGACTTCATTCCATATGCATTTATTTTTCTTCTTACTATAAATAGCAAAGGATAAAAGAAATGTTTCAAGAAGACAATGGATTCTTCTGCTAATGTGATGGAGATGGTTGAAGGAATCCATAGCAGTTTCTAAAATTGTAGCTTCATTGAGTTCACACCTCTGCTGGGCTTGGCAACTGGATAAAACTTCTGAAGCTTGCAATTCCCTTATAGTGAGGAAATGTAGTCTTATTCCAGAACACCAGTACATCGGAGAACCACAGGGAATAGCAGTAACTATGGTAACTACGGCAGGGAAATATAGTCGTACTGCACCGCAGCTGCCGGAAATTGCTCAGAACAGACAATGGTGCTCTGTATTAAGCTATATTTTTGATCTGGCATTATAGGCCCATCCAAATATTCATACAGAAAAAGTTTCTAGTCTCTGTAAGTCAAGTCATTGTCAATCACACTTTCTAAAAGGTAGGAGCTGATGGCACACGTTCCAGCTTTGCTCATTTCAGATTTAGAAAATATTAACTGCTATGAACAATGAATCAATAAAATTTTGCAATGGTAAAACATGGACAGTGATAAGAGCACACATTTTGTATGTCTTATTGTGCAACCACCAATCCATGTTACGACTCACTAGATACTTGTGAAATTTGTCCAGGTTTGTTAGGACCTTAGCTTTATGAACAACGAATCAATAAAATTTTGTAATGGTAAAACATGGACAGTGGTAAGAGCACACATTTTGTATGTCTTATTGTGCAACCACCAATCCATGTTACGACTCACTAGATACTTGTGAAATTTGTCCAGGTTTGTTAGGACCTTAGCCAAATGTTCTTGAAAGCTGGTTCTAGAATTAATGCTTCCCCAACTCATCAAGGGGCTGAATTTGTTGTCCACTGAAGGGCCATGGGTGACAGCGGCATGGCAGTCAAGTGGTCAGTGCCATGCTACCCAGCAGATAGTGTGGCATGCTGCAATCTCACATTGGTGGCTCTGGCCAATCAGGAGGGCCTGAGGCAGGAGTCCCCTCCTACACATAGTCCAATCTGGATGATTCAAATTCAGCCCACTTCTGGGGCATTAAAATGGGACACTGGCTGAGAGCAGCCATTCAGTCCCAAAATTGTGGCCTGTTTTGACTTCTAATGCTCATGTGTTTGCGTGATTATTTCATTCTTGCCAAGGACCACCAGCTTGGATGACAATTATGTTGAGATATCAGGCTCTGTCAGTCAAAGGAAGACCTTAGTATATAGAGAACCGGGCATTTTTCAACTCAGGAAGACAAGAAGGAAGCTGGTAGACAGAGGGCATATCTCTGGCTATCAAAATAAGACATTAGTTTCTGCATTGCCATCTTTGTGTTGGAAATATCTAAGCCAAGTTTGGACAACATCCATCTGCCATCATCTCCCACCACCAGCTATGCTGGTAGCTGCAATCCTGCAATCTCAGCAGCCACACATTTGCAACTCCTCCCGTAGATGAAACAGAATTATGGGGGGAAATGGTAACGAAATTCAAATTCTTTATTGTTAATCATCATCCATGTTTGAACATTAAATGAAATGCAAAACAGCACTGAAAATCAATGCCCCAAAGCTCCAGAACCACCCATAATGCTGTGCCAGATGAAAAAAATCACAGAAATTACAATATTTTATGTGGAGAAAAATAATAATATTGCTGCCAATGAATGATGCTGTTAATTATTAGTCAATGAACCATTTGTTTTTTACCTGGCAATAGTTCAAATAATAAAACCTGTATTTGAAAAGTCACACAAAAACATCATGTGGAAAGACTTTAGGTATCAAAGCAGTACTATTAAAAAAGAATATTTTTGTTGGCAAGACTCTGGCAACAAATAAGATAAAATAAAATAAAATTTTAAAAAGCATTCCTAACTTAAAATGGTAGCCCTTGGGAAGTGATCAGTGAAGGAGATCCTTTTCCAATATCATATTGCATTCCTGGCATATAAAGGGAGCATTCAATCTTGGATTATATTTTGTTTTGTAAATCTGCTCCCCTCCTCCCACAAGCACCAGATATTCATTCACCTTTTCCCTGTTGGGTAGAACCTGGAGCAGGAATTGCCATCCCAAGCACAGTAAGGGTCTCTGGCAAGGCAGCAATCGGCACAGGCGGTCCCGTAGACATGACAGCGATGCAGAGAAACTTGGGTGACCCCTTCTTCTGAGCTGACATACAACTGTTGCTGTTGAGCAGGAAATTGAGAGATTTATTTCAAGGGTTGAGATTAGAGAAGAAACGTTATCCAGGATGCAACTAATAAAAGACTAAGTCTCTCTTCCCCTTTTAGAATTAACAACAAAACTAAGAGGTGAGCTACTGATGTGGGTGGACAGTGAAAATAAATAGAAGGATCTATCAGGTTAATATGCCTCTAATATTATGCCTTCCTGTTAGAAAACGCATAGCACTTTTGGAACACTGGAATTCCTTGTTCCATTTTGCCAGGAGGAGGGTTTCATTCTGTTATACTGCTTCTTTGTCAGTATTTTAATTTCAGCACCCCCACTTAGGAATTTGAATGAAAAGCATACGATGCATGGTCTTTGGCTTCTCCCATGACTTTTTTGCAAGTCTAATGGGACAAACTGGGCACCCATTCTATGGTGTAGAGGTAACAGGCTAGGATCAAATTTGCACTCAACCATGGAAGTTCACTGGGGGAGTGGAACTGGTAAAACCACTCTTTAAATATCTCACATATTAGGGTCACTATAAGTTGGTTCCAACTTTAAGACACACAACAAATGGGACAAAAGAACCAGTTCACATTATGTATGAAGAATGAGCACTGGAACATTGGAGTTCATTATGATCATGCACAACTTGATGCCTATATGTACTTGCTTCGGACATGACAGCGCATATCTGGAAGACAATTCCAGTCAGTTTTTAAAACACTCTTAGGCACCACATATGTCAATTACAGATGATTAAGGACGTGTTTTTATTGAAAGGGAAAAAATCTAAAAGTGACCATCTTTGATGAGTTTGTGTCCCAGGGATGCATGTACTGAATTATACATAGCATGATGTAGTGGTCTGCAGCAAATAGCTGGATTTTAGACATGGCAAGCCTTGTTTCCAAGACATACTCAGCTCACTGGTTCCTAAGGGAAGCCACACTCTCACATGTTAAAATGGGTCAGTTGTGGAAGAGATTTGGGATAAGGGTAGAAAACTAGGTCATTACAAAATCAGTTGAAAGCACATGTGCAGAGAAATTCTACAGAAGCTGAGGAAACAGCAAGCTCCATAAGTTAGCTCAGCATAGATCCAATTGAAATCAATGAGATGTGGGCCATAGCTAAATTGTCGCATTGATTTCAGTGGGATCTAAGTCCAACTAACTTCACCCTAACATTTGTCATCAGTCTGGCTCCGTGTCAACAGCCAAGATTCAGTGATGTACCTGAAGCCACTGGAACAAGGGTTTCTTTCCTTTTCTCTCCCATTGTAGCCCTGCAAGGTGCCAAAAACCTGCTTTCAAGAGTGTCCTAGTCCCCCTTAGTATGTGTTAAAGGTGTATGAGGGCAGAGGGGGACCCCATTGGATCTGGGTCAATACCTGCAAGTTAAGCATCTGTGCAGATTGCATTGAAATTACTATTCAATTTATATATATCAATATATAAAATACATATATCCTCTTTACCTTTTTAGATGAAATGGCCATTGTTGTTATAGGAGCATTATTCTGCAAGAATAAACAAAAAAATTAAAGAAAGAAAGAAAGAAAGAAAGAAAGAAAAGAAACAAAGACAGAACAATTCTACATTTTTATCTTCTATTTTGATTAAATATGTTCATAGCAATTTCATGTACTTAAAATAACAGCTCATTTTTCCAGAAAGACATTTCACAGCTTCATAATTTCTCCTTCCCCATTCTCTGTGACCACACAATGTTTGACACGGATAGAACTGGGGGGGGGGCATCTGTGCACATGCCTTGACTTGACAACATTAAGCTCCCCAATATAAACACTTGTGAGTTCTAGACAACTCGAGATAAACAGCCCTTAGGAAGAGACTCCCCTGGAATGAAGATAGCTGGCTTACAACTTCAAACCATCACTTTCTGTCCGTAACAAATCCTTATATTTATGCTTTAAAGACAATACCATGTCATATTTTGCATCACAGCTCATATTTAATTAACACATAAGCAGGGTGAAGGGGATAGTGAGCAGTTCCTGCACACAACAACTGGACAGCACACATGACCCAAGATTAGCAATGCAGAACGTCAGTGTTAAAAATGAAGTGTTGGCCCATTTGAAGTTTTGTTTGCATTCGGCTTATTCAAAAGACACGTATAGCGTGCTATCAGGTTGCTCTCTTTTGCTTCCTAGCCTTCAGTCAGTTTCAGAAAGGATACAAGAGCACCTTGAAGTGTTAATAGGCATGTAATGTAAAGACACACTCTATTTTTCAAAAAAAATCCTGATAACAGAAAAGGATCTAAATCATTATTCCAGAGCTCATGGATTAGCTAGAATAACTGCATGACAAAAAAATGAAGTTACAGCACATCAAGTTGAACTGTATCCAGCTACAAGGAGATATAAAGTAGAATAGACTGTGGGTAGCCAAAAACAAAACTTGGAAATGTTAATTTTATGGACTACTACTCACAGAGTTCCCACCCAGCATTTCCACAGCCCATCCAGGGCTTGGGGTTCTGTACGTGACATTTGGTGACATGATATACCCTCAAGAGATGAATTAACCTGCAGAATTTCAGACTGACAGCTCGAGGGATCTGAGTACTAGGCACCTATAAATCTGCTTTTACAAATAAGGACCCAGCAGGCTGAAGTGATCTGCGCACCACTTGTTTTGACTTGTGCACTGGATCCAAACTGATTTGTACATTATCTACGTTTTGCCACAAAACCAAACCTGGCCATTCCTTTTCAAATTGAACCCTGAACAGATTGGCCCGAATTCAGCAAATTCAGTCCAGAATTTGAGATTTGTTCAAATATAATTCTCTATTTTATTATAATAAAATTTCTTAGGGTCAAGAACCCCTTCCCCCAAACTGACTAAAACTTAAAGTTTTTTTATTTATTTTATTAGATTTATACCCCACCCATCTAGACAAATAGTCTATTCTGGGTGGCATTACAAAATTTAAAAAGAATAGAACCAATGAACATGCAAAAAATCCAAGATGCAAAAATGTAAATATTAAAATACAGCAGGAGGGAAAGCCTGCCGAAATAGCCCTGTCTTAAGTTTACTTCTAAAGAAACCCAGAGAGGGAACCAGGTGGATCTCTACGGGCAAGTTGTTCCAGAGGCGAGGATGTAAAATACATTTAATCTGGTTGTGGTGGAAGACAAAACCACAGGATCAAATGCTTACGAAGTCTGTTCAGATAACAAAGGGAAAGGTTGGTTGACAATGACAATGGAAGAAAAACATATTGAAGAGGCATATAATTGGAAGGTAATTCTAATGAACAGTAATTGAAAATGCAAAAAAATAAAAAAAATAAAAAGCATAGGAGCCGCCCATGATCCACGGGCCACACTTTGCTCACCTATAGATTATATTCACAATATGCCAATGCATGAAGGCATCTCTCTTGGACATAATAAGGACTGGTAGAAGTCTCCAATCCTGTGACTTCCAAACATCCAGAGAAGGACCCTCAACTACCGTTTTTCCCTGAAAATAAGCCCTACCCTGAAAATAAGCCCTAGTACGATTTTTCAAGATGATTGTAATATTAACAACTGCCAGTGGCCACTGAACATCTGCAGTCAGAGCCATGCCTCTGCCTGGCCTGCTCGGCTTGCCCCAGTGGGGGGGGGCGTCTGGCAGAGCCAACAACCGCTGCAGAAGAGTCAGCAATATACGGCCAGAGCCGTGAGCCAGAGCCGCACCCTTTGTTTGGCCTGTTCAGTTTATCCCTGGTGAGAGAAGGGGTCTGCTGGAGCCGACAACTCCAGTGGCCACCGAAGGCCTGCTCAACTTGCCCCTGCTGAGGGGGGAGACTGCCAGAGCCAACAACCACCGGCAGCCAACTATGAGTGTGCCGGAGTCGACAAATCGCCAGCAGCGACAGAACAGCCACAACTAGAGCTATGCCCTTAGCCTGGCCTGCTTGGCTTACCCTTGGTGAGGGGGGGGCGCCTGCCAGAGCCAGTGATTGTCAGCGGCTGTCAAACACCACCAAATACCTGCAGCTGAAGCAGCACCCCTTGCCTGGCCTGTTCGTCTTATAGTTTAATATAGTTCACATGGAACAGAAGGAAGAGGAAGGGAGGAGGGCAGTGGAGGGAGCAGCCATCAAAGTAATGCTGGGTAGAGGAAGGTATGGGGGTTAGAACATGCCTGCATAGGAGAAGAGGGCTTAGATACCTCACATCTATCCCCTCTTCTAGTTCTGCCCCCTACCAAAGAGTACCAAATCAAAAGCAAAGTATACCAGGTGATCATATTAGTATGCCCTCAAGCCACATGGTGCTGTTAATGCATGCCAGGTCAATACAAAATAAGATCGCCCTCATCCATGATACAATCTTGGATGGGGGGGCTGACCAGACCTGGATGGGAGAGGAGGGTGGCGTCCCCCTCTCCCAGATGTGTCCACCTGGGTACTCGGTCCAGCATCAGGGTCACTCAGAGGATTGGGGAGGAGGAGTTGTGATAGTCTATAGGACTTCCATCTCTTGATGGCTTCCTGTCCCCTTGAGAGGAGGTCTTGAGGGCAAAAATTCACCACCCATATTGCTTCCTCAGAATGTTGTCAAGCAGAGCTGTTTCAGGTGGTCCGTGATCTCCTCTGGCTGGGAGAGTCAGTGGAGACACAGGACCACTTGGCAGCTTGCTGTGAGGAATTTGCTTTACATTGGGGGGGGAATTGCTCAGATTCGCAGTGAGCTGGACCCCACAAATGATGTAGAATCGGAGGATGTGTCCAGTGCGCTGTGCTTAGGTCAAATTTTAATGAATGAATTTCAGTTATTGAGACCTGATGAATGTGGACAGGGTGCTTGGATCTGTCCAGTTTACCACCACTCCGCTTGACCCTTGCACATCTTGGCTAATTGGAAAATCTGCCAGGGGTGTTTGCACATGGGTCCAGGAAGTCGTCAATGTCTCCTTGAGAAAGGGAGTGTTCTCTACCTCCTTGAAAGAGGCTGGCGCTGTGGGCTAAACTACAGAAGCCTGTGCTGCAGGGTCAGAAGACCAGCAGTCATAAGATTGAATCCATGCGACGGAGTGAGCTTCTGTCGCTTTGTCGCAGCTCGCCACCCTAGCAGTTCGAAAGCATGCAAATACAAGTAAAAAAATAGGTACCACCTCGGTGGGAAGGTAAATCAGCATTCCCTAGTCATGCTGGCCACGTGGCAATGGAAACTGTATTTGGACAAGCGCTGGCTCTACGGCTTGAAAACGGGATGAGCACTGCCCCCTAGAGCCAGACACGATTGGACTAAAAATGTCAAGGGAAACCTTTACCTTTACTAAAAAGCCTAATTTGGACCCAGGGCTAGTGGCTAACTATCGGCCGGTGGCGAATTTCCCTTATTTGGGCAAGGTGTTGGAGCAGGTGATGGCCAGACAAGTCCAGGTGCTGCTGGATGAAAAAGATTTTCTAGATCCATTTCAATTGGGTTTCAGGCCGGGCTTTGGTACTGCATTGGTCGCCCTGTACAATGACCTTTGCTGGGAGAGAGATGGGGGAATATGACCCTGTTGATACCCCTGGATCTCTCAGTAGCTTTCTACACATTGACCATGGTGTCCTTCTGGATAGATTAGCTGGGTTGGGACTTGGGGGGACAATGGCTCAGCCCCATGGCTCAATATTGTCCCCCATGCATAGAACTGCTGGGAGAGGTCATCAGGAGGTTTGGGCTGAGGAGTCAGCAATATGCTCTACCTCTCATTTTCCACCAATCCAGGTGAGGCGGTTTCTGTGCTGAACCCGTGTCTGGACCTGATAATGGACTGGATGAGGGCTAATAAATTGAAACTCAATCCAGACAAGATGGAAGTGCTGTTGATGGGTGGTTCATTGGACAAGTTAAAGAACCACTTCCCTGTCATGAATTGGGTTGCACTCCCTCCGAGGGACAGAGTCTGCAGTCTGGGATTGCTCTTGGACTCTGGTCTGGCCCTAGAGACCTAGGTGGACTAGATGGCCAGGGGTGCCTTCCTGCAATTGCAGAAACTGTTCCAGCTGCAGCCCTACCTGGACAAATGGAGTCTCATGACAGTCACTCATGCACTGGTAACAACCAGTTTTGATTACTGCAACGTGCTTTACATGGGGCTGCCTTTGAAGACGATCCAGCGACTACGACTGCTTCAGAATCAAGCTGCGTGACTGGTGAGTGGAGGAGCCGTGAGAGACCATATTCAGCCGATTCTGGACAGGTTACACTGGGTACCAGCTGTTGCCCGGGCCCAATTCAAAGTGCTTGTTTTGACATATGCAGCCCTAAACGGTTTGGGCCCTGGATACCTGAAGGAGCGCCTCCTTCCATATGAATCTACCTGGCAACTGAGATCTAGCCAAAAGGCCCTCGCTCGTGGAGGGGCTGGGTGGCCAGGGAGGAAGGAGCTGCGCACTACCAGGAACTTGCTCCTTGGCTCCCAAGTTCCCAAGGGCTCTTGGAGCTCATGCATTTCAATGGGTTTTTAAATTTCGCTTGACGAGGATTTCGCTTAACAGCGATTTCAATGGAACGGATTATCCTCGTCAAGCGAGGCACCACTGTAATAAAACAAATGATGGTATTTGAAGAAATGTACATTGATGTACTTGAAAACAGAAAACATCCAGCAAAAATAAGCCCTAAGGCATGTTTGTTTTTTGAGCAAAAATTAATATAAGAATCTGTCTTATTTTGGGGAAAATACAAGAATACATAAACTAAGGCAAAATCGCATCATACAAGAATACATAAACTAAGGCAAAATCCTTGAAGGTGAAGGTAGCAATCTGGCCAGAATGGAGTAGTGAGGATACTTCTTTTGTTGTTATGCTCCTTTACAGATGGATTTGATAAAATGATTGACAAGCACTGCTTCATTCCACAGCTCTCTCTCCCCCCAACTGTTTATCTAACTTTGCAGCCTTAATTGGCTGAGGTCTCTGGCTTCCCAACAACAGTTAACATCAAGGCTCTTAGAAAGTATAGAAAAACAAAAACAAGGCAGTTTTTCTTGTGATTTGTGGCTTAACGTCAGAAAACTTATCGAATAATCAAAAAGCAGGGGAATTTGGCATCCTGCTGCAAGTGATTGCAATCATGATATTGCAAAAAAGGGAACGCTTTGTTTCTGGCAGGCACCGTGATTTGGAGCAGGGAAAAAAAGGAGCTGTTATTGAACTCCGTTAAGCTAGACAGGCAATATTGGAAAAATAAGCTATTTAAATGCAGTATAAAAGTTTTAAAGCAAAAGTTTGCTGCTTATATACCACCCAGTAGAGCTTAAAGCACTCTCTGGGCAGTATATGATTTCGTTATACAAGCAATTCTTTGTTCCCCCAGTGAACTGGGTACTCATTTTACCAACCTCAGAAGGATGGAAGGCTAAGTCAACCTTGAGCTGGCTACCTGAGCTCATCAGGATCAAACTCAAGTCATGAGCAGAGTCTTGACTGCAATACTACAGTTTAACCACGGTGCCATGAGACTCCTCTTTTCTTCACTTGGAGAATTCCAATTTCACAGTTTTAAAAATAATAATCAAAGTATAGTGCCCCTCATTTGGCCATTGCAATCTTGCCAAACCACTTCATATCAAAGTATTTTGATCAGAAATGACTGAGGCTGAAAGGGAAATAGAGAGACCAACCTTAAACACTTCAAGCTCTTCTAAGATGAGTTCTCCACCTGTAGAGGAATTGCTGGGCAGGACCACTACTTTCTGTACTGTGCCTTGGTCTGCAAGGGAAAAGAAGGGGAAAGGGAGAGGAATGAGAGAAGCAAAGAGAGGAGCAAAACACAAAGCTTTAAAAAATCATATCACACCGTAGAGATAATTTCATCATGCACAGAAGACTAGATGCAGAACCAATTAATGGAGAAAGCTGTGGAAGAGGGACCGACTAAAATGATAACTCACTTTTGTATCCATAACAAACAATGGTAATAAAATCAACATATTGTACGCGTGTTGTATAATAAAAGAAGGAAACCAAAGACAGCCAGGGCAACTTTAGAAAGCTGGAAAGCAAGGGTGGGTAAAACCTCTACTGTATTAAAAACTCACTAACAGGCAAGCTTTTGAGCCCCACAGGGTTCTTCATAAGGGCAGACAATTCAGGTCTAGGAGGTGCAGGAGAAACAGAAAAGTCCTCAAAATCCTCATGGCCAGATGCTCTTGTTTGAAGTAACTTCCCAAATTGAAGCTACCACCTTGTAAAATCAGCTTGAGGCAGCTGCTTTCATCTCAGGGAGTGCAGATTTCATTGTCTTCCCAATCTTGGCCGATAGAAAGCCGCTAGTCACAATGTTGTGACAATGTTGTCAAAAAAGGATCAAACAGATGAACCATTTGAACAAACACTTCTGAATCCAAAAATTTGTGTGTTACATTTCTACCACATTTCCATTTTCACCTCAAAGTTCTAGATCTTTTGTCTGCATTTCCATTCTGATTTGACATGAATCTTGTGGAATATTAGGGAATGAAGTTCGGTCAGTAGACAGTGTAGCTATGTTGAGTAGAATATTTGAGGAGTTATGGATTAAAATATTTTTCCCCATCTCTACCTCTAATGAAATATAAAAAGGACTGCAATCAGCAAAGTAAATTAGAAAAGCCCTCATTGGTCAATGGCAGGGGTAGGCCACACTCTGAGGGGCTGTTGACACTCCCATATTTTCCCAAATGTAGGTTAAAGAAAATATTTTGTTCAAAAAAGTTCCCTCCTGTCTTCTGGGGTGGGGGAAAATTCTACTATATTTTGAAAAATATTTAAAAATATTTTTGGCCATTAGTGTGCGTACACAAGAGAGTCCATGCAAGAAACAAAAATGGGCTTGGGGTCACCGAAGCAGCTGCTGCCCCCTGAGATCCAGGACAGATTGTGCACAGTTCCTGGATTTCTGGAGGCTGCCCACACTTCCTCTTTATTTTATATACTTTGAAATGATGCCTGCCATCACCATTTTACTCAGTTCTTAAGAAAGAAGAGCAAAAATTTGGATGCTACCAATAAAGAGTGTGGATACTGAATTAAAAGAATGGCAGAAATTGATTAATACATTTTGTAATCATGATAGAAGACCAAGGATAAATAGGAATTTGTGGTATTTACCAAAGAGGGAGGGAGGAGTAGGAATATCTAATATTTAATATTACTACAGTATATAGCAAACCAACTGAGAAATATTCCTGACAATATAGTTAATAATAAAGAAAAATATGGAGTAAACTGGAGTTTTATATGGAAATTGTTTTTAAGTAAGTCAACAAGACTATTTTAAAAAATATATAGATAATCCCTTTCTGAAGAATATCATGCAAAATTTGAACGATTATAAGAAGATTTTCAGCCCACTTTTTTGTTAGATAATGGAATTAGATAGTTTCTGAATAACCTTAAGAAGGTTATAGGGAAGATGTGTGTTATTAAAGTAGAAGACTGGTTAAAGGAAAATGTACAATAGAGAACAAATAAGAAAAAACATTAGGAGGAGAATTTCCTGATTTAATATAATTCAGTTAGAACATTGGATTAAAGAACGGGGAGGGGCAGGTTTATGGTAAATGTAGAGTTTTGACAAAATTTGAAGAAATTATACAGCAAAGGGAGAAAGCAGATGATAAAAAAAGAAAACAGATAAGCAAATTATATAAAATGCTGATAAAGGCTGAAAATGAACAGTCAAGTCTCAAAAATATTTGGCAATTGGACTTAAATGGGGAAATAGTATTGAGGAATGGAAGAATTTATGGAGTAAAAGAATATCAAAGAGTATGTCTATAAGAATTAAGGGATACTGTTATAGATTAATATGAAGATGGTACTTAACTCCAGCAAACTTAAATTTCATGAATTCTGAAGTTTCATCCCTATCTATGATGGAGATGCAGGAAGGGGTTCCGTTTGCACATGTGGTGGAAATGTGAAAAGATTCAGAAAATTTGGATAATAGGCAACTGAACTGGGGGGGAGTATTATTATGGTAACTGCTGTAGGATTAATTATTGCAAAAAACTGGAAGATTAATTAATTTTTTTATATAGAGCAATGATATAAAGAAATGTGCACCTTAGCGATTAATGATAAATTAACAATGCAAATTGAAAATTTTAAAAGAAAACAATAAATTAACCATTTTAAGATATTTGGGATGTATTTATAGATCATGTTTTTGTGAAAGGGAAAGGTTAAACTCCAGTGCAAAAGTCACTGATTTTTTTTTTGAGAGAGAGAAATGGGGTATATTAATAAGAAAGAAAGGAAGAGCAAGGAAGAAAGAAAAAGAAAAAAAAGGAAAATACATAAACATCATAATAAGTTAATACTCCAATGGTGGTGGGGAGCACTGGATATATGATAGTTTGATTTTTCTTTTTTATTTGATTTAATCCATGCCACTCTGTTTAATGTATGTTATTGCATGCAAAAATAATTTTAAAAATTACAAAGAAAGTAGAGCAATACTGTATATCTATAGACATATAGTTTCTCACAGCTCAGCCAATCCCTACCCCAGCTCTCAATGGCACTTATCAATGGATCTTATACTAACAATCTTACTTTGTTTGCTAGGGGTTAAACAGAAGCTCAAATAATGGATAACTTGTTATGAAATATATCCACAAGTATACTGTTAAATCAGTGCATCAAAAAAGGGTGAAGAGCAATAAGTAGAGAATGGAGATTGAGCTGTAGTTTAAGAAGCCAATGTAGCAAGTGCCTGCTGGCAAGGTATTATATTTTTTAGTCCATGGAATGCATAGACTAAGAATGATGATACCACCCTACAGGATACTGTTATTGTAAGGAGGTAATGTAGCTTTGAACTGTTATGAACACTCAAAAGCACAATATGTATCCTAAGTATTATCAATATTATTATAAATCACATTTTTCGTATTGTAATTTGGAACGAGGTAGAGGACATGAGAAGCTGAAGAGTAAACAGCCAAGAGGCTAAGAAAAGGGGGAAAGAAAAGGAAGAAATTGAAAAGAATCAATGAAGAAGCAGAAGAGAAATCTAAATATTGACCAGAGTGAATTGCCAACTTTTGTTGAACTCAAGGAACTATGACTGTTTACATCAAGCCATCATAAGGTTGACAGTACGTGCTATCCTTAGGTACTATGGAACACACAGATGTTTGGCCTGCTATGCAGGATATCCAACTTTCTACTTCAAGGGGGGAAAATCAAATCTGTCCATGGATTTGACAGACTAACTGGCCAAGACTAAACTTTCTAGTCAGTAATGTAAACTTCAAAACACAGCTTTCATAATACACTTTGCTCCTCAAACAAACAAACAAACAATTATGCAAAATACCGCAAATGAAAGAGCAAGCTGCCCACATCATAAACACTACCATCACAGTTGCAATAACTTTTATGGAGAGATTTCTGCTTTTGAAGTGGTCCCCAAGAATGAGGGAAGCTACAATCACATTCCAAGCTAAAACATGCATGTACACATCACAATCAAGGAGTCAAGGAGATGTGTGACCTCCAGGTCAAGAAAACAAAAAGAAAAAGAGATACCCCAAAATAAGCTTACTCTACCCTAAGTTTTCCTCAAAGGTTTTATGTCAAATTATAGTATAATAAGCATTCTTGAATGTCAAAATAATAATAATAAATAAATAAATAAATATGGGGCTAACACTACTTATTTGTCTTGACTAAAGTTAACCTGGTGAATAAATTTGATCAGTGTGGATTTGTTCAGTCCACACTGATTAAATTTCACTTGTCTCTAACAGGCACATGCAACTGAATTTAGGCCACTGGCCAGGTTACTGTTCAGAAACTATGCAAAAAGTTCAATATTTGAGGAACTGATATATGGAGGGATCCAATAAGCAGAAGCACCATTAATTTCAACTAGCACTTCCCATATTCTCCACCTACACAATGAAGATAAAGCAGAACTAAGCCAATGGAGCATTACACTTTGCTGGCATTCAACTGGATTCTAGTTACAGTACCTAGTTCCTTCATGAATTTTACTAGTCTTATCAAAATTGCTTTCATGCCCATATCAGAATTGCTTGGATGATCCTCTTCAGGAGACTCTCGTTTTATTTCACATATTCATTTTAGGTGAAACTGGCAGGAGAAAGATGCACAAGCTCTTATAAGAAATTTTGCAACCCACTTTTTTGTTTCTGAATCATTTCAAGGAAGTAAAAAGATGATTAAAATGTTTCAGCAGGCGAACATTAAAGATAAACATGGATTGTGGACACTGAAATCCAAAAACACCTGGAGGATACACAGTTGTCCATCCTCATGTGCAAAATACTTTGTGTAATAAAAATAGTAAGTAGCACAGAAGATCTAACAAAATGCTTACAGTAAATATGAGGCAGGAGCTAAGCATGAATGGTGATGTGCCAGTGCCAGCAGTTGGGGAAAAATGATTGAGACATCCTGTTCTCTGTCTTGGTAATGGCTAGTAAGGATACAAAATGCTGCATATCTTGTCCTCACATAGAAGGATGAGGAAGTGCAAAATTACCCTTGTTGCCCCACGTGAAAGGTAGGGTGTTCTGTGACTGTCTTTGACATGAGATAGAAACTAGAATTAGACTAATTCTTTTGTGCACAATCAAGATTATGCAGCTGAAACAGACACACCTGAATGCAAAGAACACACATTGCACAAAATAATCATGGCTGCAGGCTTCATGCAGGGACTTTCTAGAATGAGAAGCACTGGAGGGATTATCTGCATCTTTTTTAAGAATCAGAGGCTGCAATTCTATTGAGTAGCTACCCTTGCATAACTGGATAAGAAAATGTCCCTTCTCTCACTCTCATCAGAAAATAAGGCATCTTGAAGGCCTTTCAAATTTCCCAGTTGAGACAGCGTACAGTGATAAGAAAAAGGATTTTAATGAATGATCATTGCATCCCTTGTGGCTACGAAAACAAACATAGTATAAAGTTGCTATAATGTACCTTCTGCAGCTCCAGCACCATTCATTGCTGTGTGCAGAGGGGAAATGGCTGTGTTGGAATGTCTTGAAATAAATATTAACTAGGCATTTCCAGGGGAAAGAGAAAAGAAGCAGGAATGGCTATTTACATGCCTCCTGTAGCATCTAGCTTTAGCCACAGTGAATAGATAGCTAACAAAGAAGTTAAACTCAGGCCTGCTAGTTTATAGACTAGGAAGTAATTCACTATACTGCACAACAGATGGATGAACAAGCTCTGTGTTCTTCTTTTTCATGCAGAAAGTACTGTATGACAAGAAAGTAATATCTGGCTTGGACAGGTCAAGAAGATGAAGAGAAGACTGTTGAAATCCAACTTGGTCTACAGAGACATTCTTTAATGAAATGCAGTAATTACATCATTCACATGCCAACTGTTTCTCTCATTTCCACAGAAGATTAGGAAGTGCACCCCACCCTTCTCTTTCCCCCCCATATTCTCCCTTTTTTGTTCAGCTTTCAAAGGGTGGAATGCATGGCTCTTTTTCATAGGTGGGATGGCTCCAGTTTTGAAGTCGATAAAAAAAAAAGGCTCCCTGGGGTACCATGTATACACATTAACACTTCAACTTGCCAGAGTGCTTCAGTGATGAAGGCCACACCTTAACTACGAGATCATTATCATTTAGAAAACTATGCAATATGGCACAAGAACAATTGCCTGCTTGTGGGGTTTATTTCATGAGCTCCGTAGAGTGTACCTGCTTATTAACATTTGGCAAGAAACAGCCATTGTGCATTTGGCATGACAGACTAGGATCATGTATGCATATATATATATATATCTGTACATTATTGGGAAAAGCTGGGCTCAGATCTTCTCTCTGACAAGCTGGTAAGATCTGGAAGGATGTGTGTGTGTGCGCGTGTGCATGCGTGCGTGCGTGTGTGTAGGTCTGTATCTGAATATTCAGAGAAGCAATCCTTCACCAGCATCTTGCAAAGATTTATCTGCATGTGCATATCAGGCCTGAAGCAAAATGGGAGGAGATGTTTTCTGAACTTGGCATGGAAATGCCTTAATTGGAGGAATGATTCATATCATAGACAGTGATAGACATGACTGGCAGCGTTTCAGTCCAGCTACAGAGCTCCTCCTTATTGCTTAAGCTTAAATGTCACCCCACTGCCAAGTCCCACTTTCCGGTGCCAAAGGACTGCTGGATCCTATACCACGCCAATTACCAAGCCTGCCAGTACCACACAATGCCATTTTTTACACTCACCAGAAGGAAATTGACACAAATCTTTTAATTAACCCATCATCCTTGTTCCTATTTTCTTTCATGACTGACATCTTTAGCAAATCCTTTCCAGCCCTATTGAAAGCACACAAGAATGAAACACTGTGCTTGCATTAACTCTCTCACTCATTGGGTTCCACTTTTTAACACCATTCATTGGTCATTGTGCACTATTCATTTTAAGTGGGTTTTAAGTAGATTAAGCCAAAGGAAAGACTAGGCCTGTGTTTGATATATTTAAAATATCAGGCTGGAGACCAAGTCAAAGAAAACTGGTGCATGTGTCCCCCCCCCTCATTATATGTACTTACTTCATTGACTCCTATAGACTGTGTAGCTATAAAACAGAATTTGTTTTCCTTAGGTGGCTGAGCATATAAGTATATTATGCATATAATGAATATATAATAATCTCTCATACACAATGGCTGGTATCCTACTGCCCAAGGACTGATGGGTGGATGGCAATCCACCTTCCTGCTCAGTTCCAGCATGCTTCTCATCATGTGTCCATTCTCACATTGGCTGTGAGATCGGTCAGACAATTAGCTGTATGATTGGAAGCTTGAAAGAATGAGAGGAATGCTTACATTATCACCTTTCTGCTCTGAGTTTATGCAACAGCTCTTGATCAATTGCTATTAATCTAACTAGTGAGGAGCCAAGAAAACCTTTGTAATGCCTCTCACTATTTCTAATTCTTTTGGTTTCTCTTCCTGATGTTCAGTTGTTTAATATACTATATTACATCCTGCATAAAAAGGAGTCATAGTATGGAGCAATGTATTCTTCATATTTCATTTAAGAAAGGCACAGGTTCAGAAGAGAAGTGTAGAATGGGGAAAGGTGACTTTAAACTTCTGCATCCACTGCAGGACTAGAGTCCTGCCCCTCATTATATAGCTGTAATTTTTTTGTGGCCCCAAATGATCACATAACAGACAGAATCATTTTCTGAACATATATTTCAACCACGTAGATGATATCCAGGATCTCTTCCAAATCCACATCCACAAGACATACAACTTCATTGCCTCTTGGAAGCCTTTTAAAAACAAATGTTGGCATCAGTTACTAATGTATTGGCATGTTAGTGGCAACAACTGAGCTTGTGTAATGGCATGGAAGTCCTTCTGCTCAAGCCTCAGATCGTAGGATTACTAAAAGACGCAGCTGTAATCTCTTTTCTTACCTGTTCCAAGAAACAAGACGTGATATCTTCCATCTGCAGCATTGACTCGGTCAACAGCTATCTTTGTATACTTGTAGTCAGTGCCTGTCCGAATGATCAGTGGCCTCCTGTGGACTGGGTAGATGGGATTAAACATCAGGGGATGGTTCCTGATAAAGGTCACCACGTCATCTGGAAACTCCTTGGTTGTCCTTATGTTGGGTGTGAAGGCTCCTCCAGGACACTGTAGAGGAGACATTGATGATCACCAGCAATTATACTAATGATGTTTACTTCTTTGAACTACAAGTTCCAGACTCCCACAGCCGGCTTGGCTCATCACCAAACAGTAACAAAATTAACAAACTCTTCAGTCATCAATATTATCCCAGTGGTGTTTCCACTTCCATTTCCCTTATGAGTCTAAAAACGACTTTCCAAATTGCAGAACTGTGCCTCACCTTTCTTTATTCCTTGGAGATGAGGCAAACCTAAATTAGTACAAGCAGATTAGCTGACTTCATCATTTACAGGTGATTTATATCCAACTATGATTTCATTTCAATTAAAGACCGTTAAAAGTTGCACTTGAAGACCCACACTAGTGTTCTCTTTGCGGTACCAGGTCAATTACTTTCATGCTGCACATTGAATTTAGGAATGTATATTTATATCATGAATTGATATGAATTATGAATGTATGTGTTGTTTATATATCCTGCAAAGAATACAGTTCTGGAAGAAAAGCAAAAAACAACAGGAAGACATTCCTGAATTGATCCTGAAAGAACACATGGAGATGAGCATCACAATGCTGATCTGATTCTCAATAAACTTGAGTGGCTGGTCTTATGACTGTAATAAAGTTTTATCTGTCTATCAATAAACTTGATGAATATCTGTGATAATGAACAGCATATATATCTGTGGGGAGAAAAAGCTACAGATTGGGTTTGTGGGACTCCAGGTTGATTCACATTTTTGGTTGTGTGTGATCAACAGTAAAAAATGCAGATCAGCCTGCCCCAAACATGCAGCATTTTCCACATTTTTGTGAATGTGGTCACTCCCCAAGACAACAGAAGAGAAAACACCATGTGGAAAATTAGCTATAGTGTATTTCTCAATAGCTAAGTACTTATTTAAAATATGTTTCGATATTGTTCACAGCTGTGCTACCCTCAATTGTGACCTCAGCATGATTTTGGCATATCCCTTTCTGCTATTTAACAATTTGTGGTGACTTAGCAATGTGTTTTGGGAGCTGAGGCAGTTTCCAACGTATACAAATGTGGACTAATGGAAAATCTGGAAATTTGCTTATAGTGGTGGAACAGGTCTTGATATTCCAACAGAACCAGCATCCCCTTGCCCTAATTCATTTGTTGATGCAGCAGCTTATTCGGTTAGGGTTTACTGAGCTTTATGCTTGTACAAGGCCCATCAGATACATATTGAATACTGTATTTTAATAGTTTAATGTTGTATGAGGGGAGTAAGTGTGGGGGATTTTATTTCCACTGTGAAGGCAAAAATGTCCATGAAAGGCAATGTCAGAATCAAGGCAAATTAACAGAGTTGTACATTTTGCTTGAACAAATGATCCAATTTGATATTGATGTAATCATGAACTTGAATCATGGAAGAAATGATAGAAGGAAGGGCAAGGTGAAATATTCAGCCTGTCCTGGTTTGTACTTTCTGAGGGGATTTGAACCTCAAAAGGACATATTAAAGGCCAAATGCTTGTTTTATCTTGTCACTCACTGAAATGGAACAAAGCGATTGATAGTCCACATCCTCCACAACATCCAACTAAGGCTGTTGTTGAAGTCATAGGCATCTTATGTTCAATACACTGGTAGTACGGTGACCATTATTAAATCATTCCTTCAGAAATGACTGTGGTATGAAAAAGAATGTCACGTCAATCTGGTGATGACCATACTTCAAATTTTGTCCTTGGCAACCTCACCATTTCTGCAAAAGAGGCAACATGGTATGATAAGAAGCCACAGCCTGGGCTTCTCATGTGGCCACAGAAAGTGATTCTCATTGTCCCAGTTTATTCTTTATTGTCCTTCCCAGGAAAACAGCTACTTTCCTTCACCTAATCTCTGTCCATGATTCAGTCCTTCCCATCTCTTCACCTTAGCCCTTTTTCTAAAATGAGTTACATAGCTTTAAGAATAAACACATAAACCAATAAAAGAACGCAGCACCACAAATACTTATCATTTAACAGTCCCCTGCCTATTCATCCTCAGCTAATGCATACTGCCCTAGGGACCTTTAGTCCAGCAATAAAGATACACTGCAAGTTTACTCATTCTGTTGATAGGGAAAGGGAGATGACTGACTGGTAGTTAGAGGTGCATGGGACACTTCATTTCTCTAGATCAATGGTTCCCAACCTTGGGTCCCCAGATGTTCTTGGACTAAAACTCCCAGAAGCCTTCACCACTACCTGTGCTGGCCAGGATTTCTGGGAGCTGTAGTTCAAGAACACCTGAGTGATCCAAGGTTGGAAAACACTGCTCTAGATGTTAGCAAGACAGTACAAAGTTGTCTTCCACAAATGCACTTAATCCAGACTGCAAGAGGAAGCCTGCCTTAGAAACTCCTTAAATTATGGCATACTAGGGAAAAGGTTTGGTGAAAACTCTTCTCCTTTGCATAAAAATCTAGCATGTGCAATGAAACTACAGTTAAGGATGGGGAGATGCAGATGTGGAGGGATCCTCTTCTTCTGCTTTGAAGTGGTACCTTCCAGGGGAGGAGCGCACACCAACGATCTCACTCCCAGTGCAGTTTCAAAGCTCTTAGTTTGACAGAGAAGCTAAGAGTTAAGAAAACCACACTTTCCCTTAATCCCATCTTAAGAAAAGGGTCGTGCTCAGAGGAATGTAATGTATTAGGGCATTTATTCAACTGAAAGTACTGTTTTCTCTCATGAAGTATAAGAATAGTATTTATCTCTGGGGAAAAACAAGTGGTCAGGGCTTAAAGGAGAAGGAGGAGGGAGTTGTACTGCTGATATGGGTTCTTGTATTATTTGGTGCTGCATTTCCTAACTGACAAAACAGAAGGACCTCTAAAGAGATAGGTTGTCAGTGGCCTGGCATTTTCTTCTCTTCTCCTCCTTACAAATCCTGTTCCTGAAGGTTTCCAAGACAGGGATAGTTCTGAGTAGGTTTCGGGGAGCCCAGTAATTGAATAGAGAAAGTGGAATTATCTCTCACCCTGTTCCACCAAGAGAAGCATCTTCATCAGTGGAATAATTTTCTTGGATTCTGGCTTTTATGCAAGTTTTAAACATTGAAGTTAGCAGTGCCCCTGCTTTTTTTCCCATAGGATTTGGAAAAGAAAAACTTTAATATACAACATTTTACCTTTCTTGAGTCTTGGGGAAGTTCCTCTAAGGCCCCACACCCCTCAAAAGATAAAGGCAAAACTAGACATTCCCATCCAGACACTTCTGGTTTCCTTTTTAAAAAATGCTCCAAGTGACCACATTTCAGCTCCGTATGGCCAGTGGAGGAGGCTGGAGACAAAGATCTGGTCCTCATGTTTCCTCTGTGTTTGGTAAGCAACATTTCTATTTAGTATCTCACACTGTTAAGCCTTGGAACTGGAAAAAACGTCCCATCAATTAGGACTGGTCTACACATCTGGAAAAAAGCACATGGTACCATGTTCCTAAGATGCTCTGACTTTAGAAGGTTAATCTTTTGACACCTGACTGCATTTCCACCCACTCTTAAGTTCCTTGTTGGGCAGAAAGTCTAGCTTTAGTCTTGCTCCTAACTCTATTCATGCATCATGCCTGAGTAGGATAAAGACACCATGTGTAAGAAGAATGGCCTGCGCATGCCAGTTCCACCCTCTAAGTTGTTATACTTCCTATGTTTAGTGTAAAAGTCTGGTGTATGCTTCCAATTGCACTGAATTCCACAGACATAGAAATCGAGCCATTGAACTCCCTGCTTTATCAGGACTCCCAATCACACGAGAAGCTTGCCTCTTTTTTCAACACAAGAACGTTGCGTCCTTAGGGTGAATGTTTGTGAATATTGGTTGGAAGAGGGTTGGCATGTAAAGAACGTTTTCCCCAAGGGCGTTGTCTATTCCTGTCAAGGCACAAAAGAGCCTCAAGGAACAGATAGAGCTATTTCCTGGTTAGTCTTCTGCATTTACAAACAAGTCAACATGCCTACACAAAAGTAAGTCATATTATGTTAAACAAAGGTATGAGATTATATATTTCATGAGGGGAGCATTCAAATAGGTAACAGTTTAGCTTGGTGGGAAACCTTTGCCCTTTATATTTTTTGCCTTTCAGTTTCCAGAAGTCCCAGACAGCAGGGCCAATGGAAGGGGATCGCAGAAACTGTAGGAGAGCCTCAGATTGCACATCCCTGTCTTGGGTGCTACTTGAGGTGGTACAATCCAGAAGGACTCTGCTAAACATATAGATTGGCCTTAAGCTCTTCTTTTCGTCCCCCACCTTAGATTGGGTCCTTGGATTTGGACCCCAACTCCCACCATTCATTCCATTTTGTGGTGCACAGGGATGATGTGTGTTGTAATCTGACGACATCAGAGAGCCACGAAAGCAGATTTGCTAAGCTATGCTGTAAATATTTAATAAATATCCTTCTTCCAACAAAACAGTACTCTGTTCATATGCAGAAGAAAGAATACTTCTTAGAGTCGCTTGCATTTTGCTGGACAGACAATGGTGGGCTGCAGGGACCTTGTACTGATCGAGGAAGCCAGTGCTTCCATTCTAAAGGCAGCCATTTCAGCAAGAGTTAATGTAAACTTGAGCAAAGTTAGGTAATATATTAATTTGGCAATCGTCAGACTCTGCAGGTTTTGGCCTCCCTTCAAAACATACCAATCACGGCAGATATTTCTGCCACAATCAACTGTGAGTTATTGAAAACTTTGAATGATGTAATGTATTGGGCTCATGCTGTGTTGGGATGCTTTATTTTAAATCTTATTTGTCATTTAGACATTACACAAATTGTCGTCTGCGGGTACAGCATGTCACAGAACACATTACAAGCCTTACATCATCTTCTGTGTAAGAGTATACACAGAGGGGTTGTGCAGGAAGTGACAGTATAACACAATGATATGTGTGGCCTTTGAGATGCTGCTGAACTCCACTTCCTATTATTCATCATCATTGGCTAAGGGGGAGTTGTAGCCTGACACCATCTGGAAGGCTACACTTTCTGTTTCCTAATGTTGTTCTAGAACAGAAGCAGCAATGAATATGAGAAGCCATTGTACGGCCTACAGATCCCCACCAAGGACTATTTATTGTCTTCCCCTTAACACCTTAATTCTCACCCTCATGTTGTAATTACATGTCTTTGTCAAGTACAGAAAGGTCTTTGCCAACAAACTCATGGACTAATAATGGTACACTGTGGATAAAAAAAGAGAAAAGAAGACTGAGGGGAGGTATGAAGACAGTTTTCAAATACTTGAGTCATATAGAAGAGGGGCAGGATCTGTTCTTAATCATCCCAGAGAGCGGCACACATTATAATGGGTTCAAGCTACAGGAAGCCAGATTTAGGCTGAATATCAGGAAACATTTCTTAACTGTTAGAGCAGTACAACAGCAGAACCAATTACCTTGGGAGGTGGTGAACACTCCAGTGCTGGAGGTATTCAAGAGAAAATTGAGCAACCATTTGTCAGCTCTACTTTGCTTTAAATTCCTGCATTGAACAGGAAGTTTAATTCAATGGCCTTATAGGCCCGTTCCAACTCAATTCTATAATTCTATGATTCTTTGATAAATTTGGCAATGGACTCCAGGTAAGCAGTTTCTGGTGAAGACAGTGTGAAGTTGCTTTTTCAATGACTAGACAGACAAATATAATGTTTTGCCATACACATTATTAGAGCTGGCCAATTGTATTGCTAGAGGGAGATCTGAAGATAGTACTTCTATAATAGTCCACATCATCTCTAATGGAAGCTACATGCTGGACATCAAGTCGGATTGTTAGCCGATTGGGATATCAGTGGCCCAGTCTCTTCAAGATTGCAGGCAGACAGCCATACTGCCAATATCTTTATTGCTGGAGTAGTGTGAAGCTGGGTTCATTTCCACACCATACATAAGCTCATCTTGTTTAATAAAATATTTGCAGGCCATATTTTAGGCTGGAAAGCATATAAGAAGGTTTTCATCATATAAAACACTGCATGCAATTGAGGGGCAACGGAACACAGAAAGACTCACATATCAGACTGGACGCAAAACGTAAGAATGATTGATTCTCTTTGTTGCTAAATTGCATGACAAGGGGAAATGCAAGGGTCCAATATAATTATTATTGCTGTTATTCTGGAGTTGTTAGAATGTGATGAGTAATTCTGTATATAGCACAAGCTAATATTTGATTACAAAGCCTAGCTATTAGGCATCATGTCTCACTTTTGTTCTTCTCCTTTGGCACAATCACTACTTTTAAAACTATCCCATAGCTCAATACTAGCCATCTTTTCAAAAAATCACAGCAAATACCATTCTACTCAACGAGACTCCCTCTCAGTCTTACAGAATGCCTGAGAAATCAGGGCAACTCAATGTCTGACTCCAAGCTGTATCTTTCAAATTCCCCCCCAACTTATAAATAGGCTTATGGGATCATATTTTGGTAAATGCGACCAATCCCAGACACACTAAACCTCCATGTTAAGCAAATCATTTAATTCTATATGTCACAAAAATGCTATAAAAATAATGAATGCATGGAATGCAAGCTCGGCAAGTTACTGTTATCTCTTCCCTCCACCTGTTATCTGTTAAAACCCCCCAAATGGATATTTTCATTTATCTTCAAATGTAGCTGAACTGGTATGCTCAACACTAAAAGGGAATTCCATTTCACTTTTGTCTCATACCGCTCGTATTTGAAAACCCCAGATGTGGGAACCAGATCTGTCCAAACTAATCAAATTATTTTAATCATCAGTGCCATTAATAGCCATTATGCTTCAGTTACAAGTTTATCAGCAAAGCTCTCACTGCTAATCAGCTGGGTAACTGATCTGTGCTAACAAGGCTGCTACAGTTTCTCTGTCTGGAATCACCGAACTGTTATTGTAGGTTCCCCTAGGACTAAGAAAAAGGAAGACAGGATATTGGGGAATAAATTGGCCATGACCTTAGGAGAGAGTTTCAATGTCATTCATTCAGGAAAATAACCGTAAATTATTATCTTCCTCTTTGTTGGCAGCCAAGGGAAGGGAAAGGCTAGACAGGTATCTGCCCTGCTGTTCATGTTTTCTCATTGTTCCTTTCAATATTAATTCTGTCAACTCCACCACATCAGTGCTAATTGCGAGTAGATCCTATCTTTCGGGATGAGTATGCCATATGCTTTTCGGGGAGAGCAGAAGGACTGACGCTGTTTTAATAGCGCTTCCACTCACATTATTTTGTCTTGCTTTTGGATTGTGTGATCACTCATAATGGTCTTTTAGAGGTATTGTTGTGCTGACTGAAGTGACATCATGGGTCCCGCGGTGGGACTGAACACTACTCCTTTTGCCTACCCCTTGCTTGCACTGTTAAGGTGGACAATTGCAACACTATTTGTAAAATGCATTTTTCAAAATATTTTTCCATGGAATTTAGTGCTAGTAAAGACATGCTGGATATCACAGTGGTTTAAGCATCTGGTTGTGTAGTTCAATTCCCCATCGGTCCTCCTTGACAGGGGATGGGCTTGATGATCCATATAGTCCTTTCCAGCTCTGCAGCTCTAAGTAGGACAGAACTTATTTAAAGTGATACTCCACTAATTAAAAGTTTTATCATGTTTTCTACGTTCAGCACTATTTCATTTGATAACCTTTAAAAGAAAAAAAAAGAGCAAGGATTTGAATACCAACCAAAGTGGTAGATGAGATAAAGGCAGAGAAGGGTGAGGGAGAAGAAGGCCGTGTGATGCATGGACACTTGAAACACACCTTCCCAGAATAATTACACATTTCAGCATAAACAGTGGCAGTACTTTATATGCAAGGGTGTGGCATAATTTTGCATCAACTCAGGACAAATGCCTGCATGATCATGCCTGAATGTAGAAAATCAAGCTGTATTGAGTCAGAACACTGGCTCATCTCAGAACTTTGAAAAGTTAGTTTCTGGACAATAGTGTCCAACATTCTCCAGAATAACCACTTCTGCTAGTTATTGTCCAAAAGTTTTTCCAATCTCTGATCCATCTAGCCCACTAGTAGCTACTGCGACTGGTAATGGCTCTTCGTGTTCAGAGTCAGCGATGTCTTCCAGCCATATAAAGGGACAGCAAAATCTCAAGCACATTTAATCAGAGTTAAGTGTAACTCTGGGTAAAAATACAGGTAGAATTTCAGGATGTGGAGGCTTTCAGCCTAAATAAATGCTGGGCAGCTGAACCCCACATGCAGCTATACACTAAGAAGCTACCACTTCATATCCTGTACTGTTAGCATCCCTAGACATCGAACTTTTGCAGTGGTTTTGTTAAACTATATTATTTGGGTCCCCATCCTGGGAGAAAGGCAGCATGTAAATAAAATCAATGAACAAAATCAATCATTTTATAATGGTATGTCTAGGTTTATTCAACCTGTTTCCCTGACATTTTCATTCACCAAATGTAGGGAGGTGGTTGAGTTTCCATTCTAAACACAGGGAAGTGTCAACTGGAAGGCCAGGCAACCCAGCCACTGATTTGCCCCAGAAGCTTCCGGGCATACACTTTATCTTTCTACTGGTAACAGAAAAGATCTGATCTTGACAAAGCCCTAAATTCTCACATAGCTCTAAAAGAGAAAGAAAACCCAATAATCCCATTAGCAGTTCCCTCTCTCTCAGTAACCAGGCTAACGACTTCCCTTCCCGTATTTAACGAAAATTCATGATGCTGCAGCCTACATATGGCACTTCTTGTCTTTGCACTAAGGAATAAAAAGTGAAGTTTACTTTCATTTTTCTGGTTGTTTTCTTTAAACTTTAGTCTTCTCTCTAGGCTAAACACTTTGCAGATCCTTTAGGCTTTCTACATATATCAAAGCCATTCACTGCCTTCTTTTATCATCTCTCCTGCCTCTTAATGCTGGCCAACTTGTCCACATGCTTCTTGAAATATGGCCAAAAATATCAGATGGAATGGTCCAGTGCCAAACCTAAACAATGTTGAATGAAGGATTATGCCTAAAGATAATACAGATAAAGCAAATACAAGTTCTCTATGTTAAGCATAGGTATGAAAACAACACATATCTGTTTCACAGTGTTTAGACAGGTACTTACAGTTCCAGGTCGTGGATAAGGAATTCTTCCCTGGTAAGGAATCAGCTGATGGTTTGGGCCTTCCTTGTGGGCAAACGGCCCATTGAAGACTCTCTGGATATCGGACAAATGGTACACACACACTGCTGAGCCTTTAAATACAGAACTAGGGAGGAAAATCAAATAAGCCAAATTAAAAAAATAAAACAAAGAAATGATTAACAGTGCGTTCTTTCCACCTTGCACAATAAAGTTTCTAAATCATTCTGGCCTCCTTAAACGGTGTAAATGTCCATCCAGCAAATTCCTTGGTCTCATGTTTTACAACTCTGAGATGTATCCTGGATCCACAAACATCAAAGCTTCATAAACTAATGTGGCACTTTTCTTGTGGCTGTGTATTTTAATGGAGTTGGAGGTCAAGATTGCAATATTGTGGTATTTTGAGAGGTGGAGAGTGTATGCTCTAACTTTAGAGTGAATGAGACATGGACCCATCAGGATGGACACACACACACACACACACACACACACACACACACACACACACACACACACACACACAATTTGTCTCTGTTCTTCTTTTCCTAATATTATCCTCCTAGTCCATCTATGTGCACACCAAAATGTGTCTACTTTCACCCATTACAACCATACCTTCATTCTTTCAGGACCTGAGACATAATGATAGATAGATAGATAGATAGATAGATAGATAGATAGATAGATAGATAGATAGATAGATAGATAGATAGATAGATAGATAGATAGATAGATAGACAGACAGACAGACAGACAGACAGACAGACAGACAGACAGACAGACAGACAGACAGACAGACAGACAGACAGACAGACAGATAATAGATAGATATTTGCCTGAAATTCCCATTTTCATCCTGTTATTCCCCTTGCATTTATTTATTTCTCTTAAAAAACCAAAAGCTTTAAGTCCACCAGGTGAAACTCCCATTTTCATCCTGCTATTCCCCTTGCATTTATTTATTTCTCTTGAAAAACCAAAAGCTTTAAGTCCACCAGGTGTGCAACAGATATACACAAAGAGATCCCCACAAACCTTGATGGAGAGGTAGAGTGAAGATGGGTGAAAAGTTAATTGTAATAAAAATTGAACCGAAAAGGGGAGGTGAAGCAGGAGAAAAGGAATCTGATAGATTCCTCCATTTGGAAGAAGAAGACTGAGTGCCACACTCTTCAGAATCTGCCTATGAATCCTCTTGTAATCAACTGCATTAGTGCTGAATTAAGGTTGTCATCACTTCTTCTGTCAGCTTCTTCATATTATAACAGCTGGCAGGTTTATAAAACATAGAAACCACCTATTAAATCTGAACGATGCAAATAGGGACAATTATTATTTCAGTCTGATTTTGAAAAAATTACAACAAATTTACAAAACTTTGCTATATAAGGAGCAGAAAAAATTTGACATTCAAACATCCTGAACGCAGAAGAGGTCACAATGGACAGATTTCTTATTCATAATATAGGGGGGGTTCAGAGCTACAAAAAGTTCCTTTTTGGGAGCCTATGACTTCCAGAATCCCTCAGCCAGTATAATAACTTTACTAAGCTCTAGGACGGCTGGACAGGGTATGGGAAGCATAATGGCTTGATGTGCTAAGTTTGCACTGCAGAGAAAAAATACAGTGAAAGGTGGATTCAGTAATGCTATGTGAGGGTCCATGACAGTGCGTAAATGCATCAGCCCGTGTAAACAAAAGAGAGATCTGCACAAGTGAAACCAAGAAATAGTCTTGGGCACCAATGCCAATTTAGGTTGAACCAAGACCATCAAGGTGAAGATTAATGTGTGTGAATTTCATCCAGCTCCAGTATCCTGACTAAATAACATTAGATTACTATCCACTTTGATGTGATTTTTCAAAATATGAAAAATAAATTCTTATGAGTTTGATGTGAAAGAAACCTTGGCTAGTGTAAATGCTATAAAGAGAGTGAGGAAATTATCTCCAAGGTCTAGAATATACTCAGTGTTCAGTTTGTTCCTTCTTTATATGGGTTCCTCTATTTTGACCCATTACAATACAGATTAGGAAAACCTAATTTCTAGCTCAAACATTGAGAACACATAATGTAATCATAAATGTGGCCTTTTACCATCTTCCCATCTCTATTCGTAACCTTCCTTCTTACATTGTTGACAGACACAGCCATCACATAGCACAAGCTTTTTACTGTGTTGACTGAGGATGGTAATAGTTCAGAGTCAACCACTCACCCAGAAAACATTAGGTTGCTAAGAGATTTTATTTTCTATTTGATTTAACTTTTGCTGATGGTACTATTTCTAACACATGCATTTGGAGACTAAAGGAAAGAGCTAGCGGGACATTTTAAAAGTACATTATATAGGTATTACATCACTGTTTGATAACTCAGTTGGTTCTCTGCCTTCATCAAACCTGGTACAAGAGATCACTAGTAAAAAAAAAACTCCCTAAAAACAGAAAAACTGGCAATGAATCAAGTAGACAATAGTCCTCTTCAATATTAGAAAGACTTATTTCCAAAACACTTTTGAAATCCTGAAACCAAGCAAGGTGATTAAGTAGACAAAATTGTCTCTCATCTGTCAACACTTGAAAGCCATTTGTTTAACCCTGTGTATTTTGATTGGAGAGTGAAGTCAAGTGGGCCTTAGAAAGCATGGCTAACAACGAGGTCAGTGGAAGTGATGGCATTCCAGTGGAGCTATTTAAAATCTTAAAAGAGGATGCTGTTAAGGTGCTACACTCAATATGCCAACAGTGGCCAGAGGATTGGAAAAGATCAGTCTACATCCCAATCCCAAAGAAGGGCAGTGCCATAGCATGCTCCAACGACTGTACAATTGCACTCATTTCACACGCTAGCAAGGTTATGCTCGAAATCCTACAAGGTAGGCTTCAGCAGTATGTGGACCAAGAACTCGCAGAAGTACAAGTTGGATTTCGAAGGGGCAAAGGAACTAGAGACCAAATTGCTAACATGTGCTGGATTATGGAGAAAGCTAGAGAGTTTGAGAAAAACATCTACTTCTGCTTCATTGACTATGCAAAAGCCTTTGATTGTGCGGACCACAGCAAATTATGGCAAGTTCTTAAAGAAATGGGAGGGCCTGACCACTTCATTTATCTCCTGAGAAATCTATAAGTGGGACAGGAAACAACAGTTAAAACTGGATATGGAACAACTGACTGATTCAACAATGGGAAAGGAGTACGATAAGACTGTATATTGTCTCCCTGCTTATTTAACTTATATGCAGAATACATCATGCGAAAGGCTGGAGTGGAGGAATCCCAAGCCAGAATTAAGATTGCTGGAAGGAATATCAACAACCTCCGATATGCAGATGATACCACTTAGATGGCAAAAAGTGAGGAGGAATTAAAGAACCTCTTAACGAGGGTGAAAGAGGAGAGCGCAAAAAATGGTCTGAAGCTAAACATAAAAAAACTAAGATCATGGCCACTGATCCCATCATCTCCTGGCAAATTGATGGGGAAGATATGGAGGCAGTGACAGATTTTACTTTCTTGGGCTCCATGATCACTGCAGATGGTGACAGCAGTCACAAAATTAAAAGATGCCTGCTTCTTGGGAGGAAAGTGATGACAAAACTAGACAGCATCTTCAAAAGCAGAGAAATCACTTTGCCAACAAAGGTCCGCATACAGTAGTCAAAGCTGTTGTTTTTCCAGTAGTGTTGCATGGAAGTGAGAGCTGGACTGTAATGAAGGCTGACCGCCAAAGAATTGATGCTTTAGAATTGTGGTGCTGGAGGAGCCTGTTGAGAGTCCCCTGGACTGCAAAGAGAACAAACCTATCAATTCTGAAGGAAATAAATCTTGAGTGCTCACTGGAAGGACAGATCCTGAAGCTGAGGCTTCAATACTTTGACCATCTCATGCGAAGAGGAGACTCCCTGGAAAAGACCCTGGTGTTGGGAAAATGTGAAGGCAAGAGGAGAAGGGGACGACCGAGGACAAGATGGCTGGACAGTGTCATCGAAGCTACCAACATGAATTTGACCCAACTCCGGGAGGCAGTGGAAGACAGGAGGGCCTGGTGTGCTCTGGTCCATGGGGTAACGAAGAGTTGGACATGACTTAACAACTAAACAACAACAACAGTTTTGATAGACTTTGATGGAGCAATTCAGATATGTGGAAGCAGTTAATGTGCTGCTCCAATATTGTATGGGCTAAAGGGAACAGATGATAAATAGTTTCAGAGGAAAGCCTCATAACAAAACACAGAATCAGAGCCTCAGAGCTTATAAACAATTTGGTCTTCCTTAAGTTCAAGACACTATTTTATTATAGAAAGCTTTTGTCTTGTTATCATTGCAAGATCGTTTCATAACCAAAATTCACAATTAAATTAGAATAGTTAATCATTAGTCATACTAATACTGTCAACATTTTCTTGTAATACAGCAAAATGTGAACATATTATATGCTATTACACATAATGTGAACTTCCCCTAGGTTCAGAGGTAGGCAATCTCAGGAGGCCTAAGGAAGCCATATTATTTGCCCCCATGATCCTTCCTAGGCTCTACCAGGTCTGGAAATGGCTGTTGAGGGCCATTTTTAAAATAGAAAATGGCTAGATGGGTACTTCCAAAGTTTATTTAACTTATTTGTGGGGGTGCTTGGGAAGCTCCTGAGGTCCCTGTACTTTTCCTAGAAGCCTTCAAGCACAGAAATATGAATTTTTTTAGTTCCCCATCTTTAAAACTGAAGGTTCCAGGATGGCCTTAGGGACAGGTTAATGTGACCCAGGAAATGCATGTTGTCTATCCCATTTTAGAAGGTAATAGATTTACAAAACACATTAACTGGCATGAGTCACCTCACAGAAAATGACTGTACTACATAAAATTCAATCTGAGCAGTTTCTTTAATAAATATATGTATGGTTACCTGGATGTTGTGAAAACTCCATATATCAATGTTGTTCGGGGGTTGTCTGTTTCAAGAAGAAACACATCCTCTGAAGGACAGAAAGAAAACAGTTATTAAATAAATCTGTGCATGCCACACAGTGATTTCCAATTCTCAGCACCACATATCCTGCTCATTCCATTTGAAGCTTGCAGGACCTGCCAGATGTTGTTGGAGCGCAACTGTAAGCATTCATCACCATTTATAACTGTTATCCGCCATTTGCAGGACCACAAATTGGCCATTTCTGTCCTAGGCAGTCACTCCTGTGTCACAGGTGGCACCACAATTGACAGAGAGAATGTGCATGAGTGTCTCGTGGTATCTCATTAACATGGTTCAAATCATTCTATAGATGTAATAATAAAAGGTGTGATTCAGCATTGCAAAAATAAATGCCTGAAGATATAATCCTATTTACTCTGGGAGAAAATGCTTAGAAAGGCAGCAATTATTGTCCTCGAAAGAAGACTCAGCAGCAATATAAGCCACAAGTGTAGCAGAAGTAAAAACCATATGTTAAAGTATATAGTGGTTGAAGTCCTGTTGCACAGCTACACAAACAACTGTGATAATGATGTCATCATCAGATAATCACCACTAATTAAAGGCTACTTTTGGTTATTTCAGAGTGCACATGCCTTCATTGCTCTATATCTGGGTAATGTGCACCCTGGAATCAGATTTAACCAGCAAATGCACAGCTGTACAACAGATTTTCAATGAATGGTGAAACACTTGTGTAAATTATGCCTGAAAAAGAGCGATTTTCAATAATTCGGACCTTCTTTTGTTCCCCCCCCCCATGTTGTTGCTGTTATTGTGTAGAAGCCATGGGAGCTGCAGGACAGTAGGAGGAGGTCTTTAATCACGAAAGATCTCTCCCCAAATCATCATCATTCAACAGCAGAAAAATATCTCCTAATTATAGGCTCTTCATTATGTTTCATGGCTCCCACAGTTTCTGTACGATGAAAGGGATTATATGGGAATATGAAAATCTGTGGGACAGTCATAAAGAGTTGCTAATTACTGAAAATCAGTCCCACTAAAAATCAGTGGGGCTGAAAATCAGCCCATCATAAGCTTTACACAGGAATAAATTACATCACAGGATTTCTGCCAATCATTTAGAGGAAATAACACCTGCTACAAGTATCAGACTGAAATCTTGGCTGCACTATATTATGACAAATTTCAGATTCTCAACTGAATCAACCTGATTCAGATTGATTTATATGAAGTCCAGATCAGACAAATCAATTTGTGTCTATACTATACGTCTAGAATTGAATGGGGGCACAACTCACTAGTTTTTTTTTTCTTTTTTGTTATTTATCAAAGCTACATTTAAAGGCATCTAGCATGCAACCCCTGTCTAAAATTGGGCAGGTCTTCTTCCCTCTTTGGCATTCATAATCTCTTCATATTTCATTTACATCAGTGCAAAAAGAAAAAAGTTTTGCTTTTCTAATGCAAGTGAAAGGCAAGCTTACAAATCAGTTGAAATTCAAAGTACAAATCAAATCAGATGCTGCACAAATTCTTGCTGATCAAACTTGGATACATTCCAAACCCTCAAATTGGACTCCAGATCAGAGTAGGATTCCAAATCCTCAAATTGGACTCCAGATCAGAGTAGGGACCCATTTACAACCTTATTGGACATATCAGGTTGTTTATGTCTCGCACTCCCTTAACTTTTTTCTAATGTTAAATGAAATTTGAAAAGGTCTTTGCAAGCAAAGGCTTTAAGTACAAACCATCAGAGGTAAAACATGCTGTTATCCATCTTAGAAATTCCTACCGCTGTACCTAATTCATCAAAGTAGGTCTCTGTGCCATCATCATCCATGACGGAACATACAAGCCTTGCTTTCAAATAGGTTGTCCACTTGTTAACAAGACTACGCTGCCCACCAGTGTCATTCTAGGGAGTGAAAAGGAAGAGAAATAAACACTTTACAATGAAACATTCTGAAATCTGTACATGCTTCTGAGCAGGCACTCAGGATCTGCCCTGCCCACAAATGTACAATATGGACTTTAATTGGGATATCAAATGCTTCTACCATTTCTCCTCAGAAGGGTGATAAACTCCAAATAATAATAATAATGTGCCATCAAGTCAATTCAGACTTATGGTGACACTTTTCAGAGTTTTCTAGGTAAAACGTACTCTGATGTAGTTTACCATTCCCTTCTTCTGGGGGCACCTTGGGATTGTGCAGCTTGCCCAAGGCCACATAGGCTGGCCTGAAAAGACTCAAATAATGAAATTAGAATTTGTTTATAGACAAAGTAAATCAACTTTCTCCAGTCTGGTTCCACCAGACTTGTTGAACCACCACTTCCATCATACCAGTAACATGGCCCATTGAGTGAAGGATGTTGAACTTTTAGTCCACATGAGACATGAGATTATTAGCTTAAAAAACTATACCAACCAACCATGCAATAAAATCATGTGGTACAACTTTCCTCAACTGTGGCACGGCAGGGTGGTAGGTCAGCAGATTGCAAGCCTGAATGCTTATGCCCACAAAGGGAAACAGGATGTTGGGTAAATTAGTTCTTGTCCTGCTTTTCTGTGTAGAACAACTGAGAAGAAATTTCTGAAATGAGAACTTTCAAATGTGCAGTGTCTATCTGTAGCCTCAAGTGACCCAGCCTAAAACACTTATTACATGTAGATCTGATAGTCAACACACACATCACCTAGCAACCAGTGGAAATTAATCAAACTTGTGTGTGTATGAATCCTAGTTCTTCAGGTGCATAATTAACTTTTAGGAAAAATACCCTACAGTGGAAGAATTAAGCTCAATGAGCGCTCATCAAACTCAGTGTCAACAGAATGCTGATAGACTGTCGAGAGGATAATCTGGAGTAGGTAGGATCCAGAAGAAAGAGGAGTCTATATAATGTGGCAGGTCCTTTAAAAAAAAAAAGTATGAATTCTAAATCTTATCTAAATGACTATTTTTTCCAGCTTCTAGTAAGATCATCAGATACCACCACACATGTCCAGCTCATATTTATCTGAAGCCTAGTTTTGGAGGTTTTCTGGCAAAGATAATTCTAGCAGAACCGCTTCAGGCTTCTTAAGAAGTCATCTGGGCTTCATTAGGATAACAATGGTTTAGTCATATTTAGTTTCTTCTGAAAAAATGCTACTGGGCAACTTGACCAAAATTAAAATAAAATAAACATGACATCCAGATCACATCATATTGTTTTGACACAGAAGAATCAAATCCAAAACATAATATATCTATTCTACTGCATTATTTGTATCATTAAGAGGAAAGAACACAACTCGTCAGCAAATGCTCAATGAACTATGCAATGGTCAGATGGTTTGTGACTGGGAAGCCTTTCTTTAGATAGTGCAGTGTGATGAAGAACAGGACTATCTCCAAGTGTTGGGTGAGGCAATGTGTCTTTCACACCTCCTCCAATGGCTTCCTAAGACCAGTAAGTGGGCAACAGTGCAGTGTCTACACCTCGTATTTAGAACCAAACAGGCTAGGATCCATAAAGTGCTAACTTTAGAGCCGGAAGGTGTAACCTCTCAGCCTTTTTCCAGTTGTTGCTAGACTGCAATTCCCAATATCCCATCACCATTAGCTACACTGGTTAGGGCTGACGGTAGTTGTGGTCCAACAACTTCTGGAGGGCTGCAGTTACCTGTCTTTAATTTACAGGAGCCAAAATTCAAACAAAGGGCATTTCCTTTTGGAGGGGTGTGCCTTAAAGATGAATCCCTCCACACAGAGAGCTCCTACATAGTGCTACACATCAAAAAGGCATTGTGTGCATGTGCCATGTTTTCCCTTTAACTTTTCTTTAACAGAGGAAAGATGAAGCAAGAAATAGGAAAAAATGATATGAAGGAACAGGCAAGTTATACATGAAGGATATTGCCAATGGCCTGCCCAAAGAAGCCATATTTTGGTCTGGTGTCTCCGAAGGGAACAACATAGGAACTTCTATGTAAGTTCTATTGATTCAGTAGGCTGATACTAGTTGTGACTTTCTACATTTACAACAGGATTTGAGCATTTGTTTCTTTTCTTTTTCTTTTTCTTTTCTTTTTTTTTGGGGGGGTGTCCTATAATCAACTCTGCACAGTTTTTGTCCTGAACAGCATACCAAAAATAGTTTTGCTTACAGGACATATTCTAGCAATCATTGAGTGGATTTGCTTAGTGCTGCCGCTGTTGTCCGTCAGTTTCTCTTTGAAGAAGAAGTACACTTTGGCATCATTCGGGTCGGTGCCATCTGGGATGAGATGGGCATCCACGAAAATGGGCTCTGAAATGACACAAAGACATGCGGCAATTAGAACACGCAGATCAAGTAATGTGACAGCAGCCTGGCAGCACAGGTACAGTGGTGCCTCGCTTAGTAATCACTCCATTGAGTGACGAAATTGCTTAGTGACAAAGTTTTTTGTGATAGCAAAAGCGATTGCTTTGCAATGGTCCCTATGGGTTTTTTTTTTCGATTTACGATGATCGCAGGGAAGCGATCATGGCAAAGCGACCCTTTTTTAACAGCTGATTGGCGGTTTCAAAATGGCCACTGGGAAAACAAAATGGCCACCTGCTGTGTTTCCTCACTTTAGAGGCACCGAAAATGGCCACCCCTATGGAGGATCTTCACTTAAAGGTTAGTTTTTAGCCCATAGGAACGCATTAATCACATTTTAATGTGTTTCTATGGGCTTTTTTCCGGAACAGATTAACATCGCTAAGCGAGGCACCACTGTACCAGAGATCAATTGGGACACCCACACACACCCATCCTTTTCCATTTAGGGAACCTTGTGGTTCTCATGGAGATTGGCCACTCCAAAGAGGAGTCATGGATCTTTCTCTTATCAGAATTATGGCCTTTGTATCTGGGTCATCAGGAGGAATGAGCAGAAAAACAAAGACCAGTTCCTAGCAAAGGCTTCTGATATACAAGTAATATTTGTGAAGAAAAACACAGTAAACTCAATAATCATCTGTAACATTCAGTGGTGGCTCCTCTATTAGTTCTAGTGGGTACTGCCCCACTCTGGGCTCAGACTGCCCTCATCTAGTCCACTCCTGTCTTACTGGAGAAAGAGGACTTTGTTGGTCTGTATGTGTGAATGCCTACTTGCCTTCATGGCTCTGTATCTATTTGAATATGTGATAGAGTCTGTAGTCAGAATCCTATTTGTTGCAACTACAGTATTTGATCACATGCTGGGGCACATCTTAGTCATGTGCTGAGTAGTGCAGCTGAGATGCATTCCATCACTTTGTCAAGGAGCCACAATTAGCTACGGCAAGTTGCACAAACCCTATGCAATACCAAAAGGAAGCCAGCCTGTGTGTTTTGACCGGGCTCTGCCCATCCTCTACTGCTACAGGCTAACCACAAACCCTCCTGCCAAAATGATATGATCCACAGCAAGAGAGTTATTAGTAGGTGTGAAGAATCTGCAAGGTTTGCAGAGGAATAAAAGAAACCCCTTCAAAACAAGACCCAAGGAGGTGTGGAAATAGAGAGCCTCCCAACCCACAAAGAGAAATAAGCTGACTAAGTAGCCACAGACTATTCTGTGTCTTTTGGTGGGACTAGAGAAGAAATGGAAGTGGAAACAAAAAGGGTTTCTGAGGAAGAAGCATGGCTTGCTGGCCTGAATGAGAGGACTTCGCTGGACCTCTCTGTACATTACCGGTGACTTGTCAAGACACATGAATATGTTATAGCTGTAGCATGTTTAGCTGCTTTGCTAGAGCTTGTCACCACACTATCAATAAAAGCACCAAAAGTGTTTTATGATTCAGTCAATCCCATTGATGTAATCATAAAGAAACCCAGATAATTCTCAAAGATATTTGCAGAATGATTTGCAGAACAGTTAGTGGAATTATTTATCGTGATAAGTATCAGTTAACTTTCAGTCAACTTGTGTAGAAATATACAAGCTTGCTATAATGCTTTTGCTGCTAGCAATCTTCTAAATTTGGTTCAAAATAAATAGCTCTCCAGGCTTCCAATGAACTTTATCTTTACCACTCATAGATATTAAGCACCTTAGTAAGGACAAGTGGTCACACAGTTGCTTTAGCACCCTCAACATATGACAGTATTTTTGAAAGTCATAATAAGCCATTATATAAAATCTGACAGTGCAGTGGTTAAACTGAAGTACTGCAACCAAACCTGTTAACCTGTTAACCTCGAGGCAAAATCCGGAGCTGGGGTCCCGAAGGCAGCATGTGTTGTTCTGCCAACTCCTGCGACATTGCTGGAACCAGTTGTATTGGCAATTGCCTTTCCATTGGACCATTTCAGCAACGTGGAGAGGGGGGCTCTGCTGCTTGGGTAACAGCCTATCCTCCATATTACCTTACCCGGGCTTCATGCTCTGGAGAGGACACTCCTCAATCCAGAGCATGTTACCATAGTCTCTCAGGACTGAAGGATGTCTATGGATGCAACCAAACCTCTGCTCACAACCCAGGTTCAATCCTGGTAGCCAAGGCAAGGTTCACTCAGCCTTCCATCCCTCTGAGGTATTAAATTAAGTACTCAACTTGCTGGTATGTGTATGCAATATGCAGTTAAACTGTAAACTGCCCAGACACTGCTTTAAGCACCATGAGGTGGTATATAAGCAGCATGCTTTGCTGTTGCTTTTTGACTTGTGGTGATCATTTCCAAGGTTTGCTAGATAGAGAGGACTCAGAAGTGGTTTGCCATTCCATTCTTCTGAAGGTGCCTGGAATGGTGCATCTTGCCAAGTTTAAATGGGCTGGCTTTTTTCCTGGAATGCACAGAGGGGAACTGAACTCCCAACCTCTAGTTCCACAGCCAGAGAACTAATCCACGATGCTATCCAGACAGTCATAGGAAGCACATATTCTCAAGGGATGTACGTAAATCTTTGCTTGCCTTGCCCTCTCAGGGATGGTTGATTAACTGGATTTTTTCCCTCTCCCTGCCTGAGACTGAGATATCTTCTGGAGCTATACAAATAGTGTAACTTGTACAAGTTGCTCAACTTTGCAACAGCTACATTGGTGTTTCACAGAAGTCTAAAAAAATTAGTGTTTGTTTGTACCTTCTAAACAATCAGCTAATTCTTCTCTGCTTGCTTTGTATATTTGTAGGTGTGTGCGTGCACACACACACACACAGGGATGGTTGATTAACTGGATTTTTTCCCTCTCCCTGCCTGAGACTGAGATATCTTCTGGAGCTATACAAATAGTGTAACTTGTACAAGTTGCTCAACATTGCAACAGCTGCATTGGTTTTCACAGAAGTCTAAAAAAATTAGGGTTTGTTTGTACCTTCTAAACAATCAGCTAATTCTTCTCTGCTTGCTTTGTATATAGGTGTGCGTGTGTGCGTGTGTGCGCACGCACACACATACACAGAGATATGTTGCTTCTCAAAAGGAAATGACACTAGGGTTGTAAAGAGAGCCCCAGAGGAATTGTGCATAAACTGCAAGAACCTTGCTGGGCGGGGAATACTCCATGTCTCAGTCTTGAGGTAAGGAATTCTACGGAACTGAAAATGTCTTGCTCCCTGGTTCAGTTGTATCAAATGTACAATTGTATTCTTTAATTGCATAAGTGAATGAAAACAAAGAAGTTGTTTTCATTCACTTATACAATTAAAGTATAAATTAAAACAAATATTTCTCATATCCCTGTTAGTCTATAGGATTAATTTGTTGTCTATACCTGCAAGTAATGAATAGGTTAGGAATGAATTCAGTGACTCAAAGCCAGAAGCCCTGAGGAAATGTTTTGCTTCCCAAGTCCATCTTGCAAACATCTCCTTTTAACTGTCTGAAATGTATTTTTTCTGTCACTTTAACTGTACAGTCCTACTGCATAAAATGTCAAACAGAACAGTTGAATAGCATGAAGTCAATTTCTTATATCTTGTAATTTAGTGTACAGTGAAGAAATTAAACATGGTCTTCTTACCACTGAGCCATTTAGAGTTGTGCTGATCAGTCCTCACAGCATTCCTCCGGGTTAAACTACGGAATATGGCCGCATCAGTTCCCATGAAATCAATGTACATTCCTGAAAATAGTTCTTCATCTGGAGAAAGTGAAAGAGAGGAAAAAATGAATACCTCCTTGGGCAGGGGGGGAAATGCAATTTTAGAATGCTATTTCTATTTGATACATGTCCATTTTCTAATTCTGTAATGAGTGGGATGAAAGTGGGATTTCCTCTGAATCATGATTTTTTAAAAAAACACAAAACAAAACCCAAGTCTCCAACACAGCATCCCATCTTGATGGAAACCTTTGAGCAACCATATAATTAAGAACGAAACCAGAACAAAAAAATGTGGGGAAGAACATTTCAAGTGGAAGATGATTTAGTGGTTGAAGCCACTAGGAGCCAGCTCAGAAAGATGGAAAAAGTAACACAAATAATCAACTTCTACTTTCTAAAGGAAAGAGACATCCTTTTTATGTGCTATAAAAGTACTGGAAAGAGGAGCATAGGATTATCAAAACACCTTCGCTTGTGACATAAATATGCAACCCAACAAACAAAAGTTGTAACTTATTTTGGAATCAAAATGGACAGAGTTCATGGAAGGGCGGTGAACCTTTGTCCTCCCAACCTGAAGAGGTGACATTCAGCTTTCCAAAAACCTTAGCTGTGCTAGTTGAGGAGATGTCCAATACATCTCCATTCCTGACCTACATGTAGATATAAGGGCTAACTTACTCTGGATCCCAGCCAAATCTCTATTCCCATACTGTGATCTCCATATTGTGTAGCTTTATCATTTGATTCCAAAAACAAGGCCTTTTTAGCTGACTCCAACTATGGATGTTGAAGCAAAGCATGAGGGGAATTTTTACACGCATGCCCCTCAGCTGCATCAGAAGTCAACAGATAGCAAGTGGAAGCAAGTCTCTGAAATCCATGAGAACACCTGGGCAAAGCTCTTGTAGGGAGGAAAGGGTTAAACAACCCTTTGCCTGAGTCTCCAGATATGTAGTTACAGATGTGTAGAATGTGAGATTTGCAGGATGGAGGCCATAAGGGAAACAACTGAAGGAAATTGTGTTCAAGTCTCTATTATGAGTCATGCTTGGAGAAGGCAATTATTGAGCCGTTAATAGGATTTCAGAGTGAGAAATTCTTAAGCTGCAGTTGGCTGGCTTGTTTATGTATTTACTTTAAGCATAAGCATTCCACCTTCCTTCTGGAGAGTGCAAAGGGCCAAATAGCAAAATAATGCAATAGACTAACAACTCAAAATTGACATCAACAGTGAGAAATTTCCAGTGGGGTAGGCACGCCTCTGACTTCTTTAAGACTAACACGTTTCTTTGGGCTTAAGCTTTCATTGACTGTAGCCTGCTTCTTCTGATGAATGGCATAGAGGAGCCTCAGTAGATAGACATGCATAGATTCATGAGAATATGAAATATCATGGGAGCGTGAATGGCCCAGCGTGGCAATGGTTGATGAGGGTCATTAACAATCCTTGAGTGCGACAGGTGAAGATCTTAATCATGGATTCTTGATATAGGCTATCCTGCCAAGTTGCTGTAGAAGTGGGTTACAGTCCATGAAAGTGTATGTCAAATAAAGCTAGTTAACCTTTAATGTACCAGAAGAAGATCTAAATAGTAGTAGAATACAACATACTGCATCAGCAAAGTTATTTTAAAATCATAGGCAGTTCAAAACCAAATTAGGTGAAGTGGCAATTCACAACCCAAATGCTTTCCAGAACAGACAAGTTTCCACCAACTTGTGGAAGGACATTAAGGAGGAGGCAGTATAGACTTCCTTTGGAAGGAGACTCCAGAGCCAACTCCACTGAAAAGGCCTTCTCCTTGTCACAACCCAGCATAATTCTAGAGATTCTTGAACACTCAAGGCAGCCTCCCAAGGCAGAAGGGAGCCCTTCAAATATCCTGCTCAAAAACCATTCGTGACCACATGACATAGTGATAGCCACAGACTTGGATGGCTTTAATAGAGAATTAGACAAATTCATGGCAAAGTCATGAATGGCTGCCAACCAGGATACAACAACAATAATTATAATTGCATGCCCTTGGGTAGATTCTGACTTGGCAGGTCTTCTAGGTATAAAATACTCAGAACTGGTTTATCATTCCCTTCTTTTGGCAGTGCTCTGGGACTGTACAGCTTACCTAAGGCAAACACAGGCTGATTCTACTCCTGAGAGACACACAGGGGAACTGAACTCTCAGTTCCTAGTTCTGCATTCATGTGCTCCAATTCCATAAGCTAGCCAGCCAGTTTAGTCAGATTGTACATTACCTGAGATATCAGAGGCATCATGCTGTAGAACACAAAGGGGAGGGTTGCAGACATATTTTGCTTGGGGCCCTCCTAGAGGCATCTATCTGGTCTTTATGAGAAGACGTTTCTGGACTACATAGACTTTTGGTCTGACTGTATGGTCATTGTTCATTCAGAGAAGTTAACATAATTGCCAGCATTGTGAACTGTGCATAGAAACATAGAAAGCCAAACCAGTGCTTTCCCCCTTTTGTTTCCTCCCATATTTCATGCACAGAGGAGAGATCCAATAATGCTCTCATTCTGGTCTTGTCAGATCCAAAATGTGGCATGTTGCTTGCTGACTAGGAATATACATTGTGGGGAAATCTGACCTAGTATAACTTCAAGGTGAGGTAGGTTACTCAGTGCAACTGAAGGTAAGGTACACAAAAGCTGAGTATTTTCAGTGTGAGCCAAAGCACATTTCCATCTCAAAATGTTTCAAAAGAGTGTATTAGGCATGCAACCTTCACTGATAACAATGGGATTATGGATCTAAATTCCTTTGCACTGAAGAATTCAGCTCATATATCACAAAGTGCATACAACGGATATGGCAATGACTTTTAAGTATTTTCTTCTCTCTGGGATTAGCAACACAAATCTCATAGGCCAGCAACACAGTCCCACAAAGCAATATATTAGCAAAAATACCTTTCTGATTTCCAACAGTTACTATAAAAGCATGGCTCAGTAGCATCATTCCATTGAGGTTTGCAGATTGCTTTCCAGTGATTAGAAATACCTGTTCATCCACAAGATTCTGAAACTCTGCATTGCTAGCTGCTGCCAAGGTCATGAACTCTGTGCCGACTGTCATATATAATGTTCAACCTTTACTTGACTTCACCGTTGTCTATCAACAAGAACCTGTCACAGTAAAGGTGGGCAGCCACTGACAAGCAGGCTTTGTTTCACAACCAGGAGACTGTATTATGCTGAAGACATATGGTTCACAACAGAGATGGGCATAAATCAAACTATGAACCAAAAAAATCCATGAATTTGGCTGTTTTGAGGTTTCATTCATAAATCACTTTGGGGATCCCATTTTCCCAATATGAAACCAAGTGCCAAGCCTATTTCTATGGGCTTCCTCCCTTCCCCCCATCCAAGTTTGTTTCAAGTTGATTCTATGAGGTGTTTTTTCTTTGAAATTCATGCCCTTGGCAGTTTCTATATTTTAAAAATGTGTACATATTACCAAGCACTTTTTTTCTTTCTTTCAGGGAATGCATTGCGAGTCCAGAACTGCAAAGATCTCCAATTGCAAATTGTACCCACTTCCAGGTTCAGTCCAGCAGGTGCAGAATTTTGCCCATCTGTTTTTCCAAATGCTCGATGAACTGAATTTCTTGCATATCTTTATCTCAGAGACTGAACTCTGTACTAGGACAATCAATTTAGATACAAAAACTACAAGACTCTGTCGTAACTGTATTGGGATTTGGCATGGCTGAAACACTGGCTGTCTGAAAATCATAATTTGCCACTCGGGAATAAAGCACCTCACCTTCCCACTGGCTACAATTCCCTTCACGTTCACCTTTAGCCATATTTTATCATTATATCTGCACTTCTGTGAATTCATGCATTCACTTAAACTTCAGATGTACATGCTGCTTTTCTCCCTTTTAAAGAACTTATAGTAAAACAAAGGCACAAAAATCACAGTGGCCAAATCCTGCTGCTTAGGCATGCTTGTATAACTTGAAGTTGTAAAAGTGGTTGCAAAATTCAGAACAAATCAGAAGAGATATCCAGAACCCAGTTCCACAGGTGCAGTTGTGCAACTAATTGGGCAATCAGTCAAGGACACATTTTTGTTTTGTTTTTCTTTATCCCCTTCAGTCCACCCACCACCAGAAAGTAGCCCACAAAAAAAAATCACTGAAACTGAATTTAAAGGTACTTTAAAAAAAGATTTCTGTGCTGTTCTAATTTTTTTAAAGACAGCTATATTTTTAATAAAAGGTTAATAATTAACTTTTTCTTATTTTTCTTTCTACCGTGAGCACAACAACTTCATGATTTTTCCCCATTTGTTTGTTACAGGATTGCTGTCCAGACTTAACAGAATGCTCCCACGTCGCTGTCAATTAAAAAAATAAATAAAACTAAAGCATTTGCTATTCTTTGTCCCACTGCATACCAGCATTGTTAGTTATTTCTTAATTATCCCTCCAGCCTAGTTGTCTAATTAGTTGCCAATAACGTCTGCCACCTCCTCTTCTTTTTGGTTTAGTTGTCTAATTGCCCAAATAATTGGTCTTAGCAAGAGCAATAACAAGCTCATACTCTCTGGCATTGTTTCTTTCCAGTGCATATTTCATTTATGTTTGCCTTTGCAAAACTCCTAGACACATTTGCAGGGGGTGGGGCATGAGAGAACAGGCAAAAATAATTAACGTTGCTTTCCTCATCAAAAAGAAGAAAGTAGAATTGTGAAGGAAAATGAAATATAGGATTGTAACTAGAGATGGACATGAATTGGAAAAATTGTGATTTGTTTTGATTCGTGATTCATTAAGGTTGAGAATTTATGGCCCAATTTATGATTTTTTTCTGACAAATTGATGAATCTATTTGTCAATTTGTTTTAGCTTTTAAAACCCTATAACCCTCACCCCAAGCACATCGGGACACCAGAATTGCAGACAAGCTTCCTCTGACTCTCCTCTACAAGCCTTGCAAATTTGGCAAAGTTTGGGTTTGGATGTCCAAGTTATATACCCATAAGAAGCCCCCCCAAGAAAATTTCCCCAGGCACCTAGAGACACCAAAATCACAGAAAAACTTTCCCTGACTCTCTTCTATAATCCCGCCAAGTTTGGGTTTCGGATATCCAAGTTAAATGCCACAAAAGTGGATCCCCTCCACAAAAAAGTGCATTTTGGCAGCTGACTTGAGTGAAACCCAATCTTCACCAAACTTGAAGGAATTCTAGAGGATAGTCACAGGAAACTTCTCTGTAATTTTAGTATCTCCAGTGCGTGGGAGCCATTTTATGGCCCAATGAATCAACAAATCAAAAATCGCTAAAAATTCATTGATTCATATTCATCGGAGACATAAATTTGGATGAATACAAATAGACGAATTAGTGATTTTTGATGAATTTTGCAATTCATTTTTAAAATTCATGCTCATCTCTATTTGTAATCCATGGTTATGAAAGATGCTGGTTAACGTTAACCATGGCTGCCCATCCGTTTCCGCATCGACTTTTTAACGTTAACCATGGTTAGCACTAGTACATACATTGAGATATGAGAATACTTGCAAGGAAAAGAAAAGAGACTTAACAATAAGGAAGCAAAGAGGTATGATATAGAGTGGACCATTGGTCCAGATAGGCAGGATAAAAATCAAACAAACAAACAAACAAACAAACAAACAAACAAACAAACAAACTTCCAAAGAGTATATCTGCTTGAAAACTATGGCTTGCAGGGAGCCATCAGTACATTTCTATTAAAGACATAGGGGGTTGTGGCAAGTAATATGAGGGTGATATAACCCATATGAAATAAATATGTTCTGGAAATTGGAAAGCCGTTGTATGCATGTACTGTTATTGTTTTAAATCACAGGTGTGCAAATTAACGCTACAATATAATTGCATTTGGTTTTATGTATACTGATATTAGCATAATTTGCATAATTTGTTACATAGGCAATTGAAGAGTACACTGGGGGGGCTTTTTGTCCTTTGCATACTAGAGACAGAACCCCACCCCGCCCCAATAAATTTGATATCTTTGGAGATGAAACCTGATATCAGCAAAACTCAACTTGAGTCTCCATCATGGAATGTTTAACTTCAAATCTTGTGGCCACAAGTGGTAGCTAGCATGATTCATGCACTTGTGTGTTTCTCCCCCACCTCAAGACCTACAATGCTCAGTCCTGTGAAGACTGGAAGGTTTAACTCTTGGAGGCATTTTTGTAGCCCAATAAAAGGTATTACAGATTTGGGATTTTGCTCATGGATCATATGGATGTCGATATGTGTGAGAAAGAAAATGTACATGCATGAGCATACACATGTGTGAGTGTATCCTGCACCTTTCCCTCTCTCTTATATTATCTATTCTATTCTATTCTATTCTATTCTATTCTATTCTATTCTATTCTATTTTATTCTATTCTATTCTATTCTATTCTATTCTATTCTATTCTATTCTATTCTATTCTATTCTATTCTATTCTATTCTATTCTATTCTATTCTATTCTATTCTATTCTATTCTATTCTATTCTATTCTATTCTATTCTATTCTATTCTATTCTATTCTATTCTATTCTATTCTATTCTATTCTATTCTATTCTATTCTATTCTATTCTATTCTATTTTTTCAAATACATTTTCGGGGCTTCACTTATTTTTGTGCTTGTTTCTCCCTTACATCCCCTGCCAGTTCCAGTTCTTAATCTTAAAATGCCACTGGTTTTCAACTCCTGGAAAAGAGAAATGCTACCCACGCTACAGTATATTTCGCCCCCTGTTCCCCCCTGGAAATGTGCATCTGGCAGCCAAGTGTAGAGGTCAAACAAACGGCCGTGTCCCAGCTGCCAAACGCCTGTTGATTTTGGTGGGAGCAAAAGGGACTGAGAGATGTTCTCAGTCATGCTCCAATGAAGCCGTAGGGCTAAACAACCTCTGGAGTTTGTTTTCCTTCATTCTGAAGCACAAAAACCGTATGCTAAGGTCAATGGCATCCTACCTTTTGTTCCAGAAAAATCTCAAGTTGGTTTGAGAGAAAGAAGGACAATGGCTGCTCTTCTCCTTGGCAAGAAAAGCAAGCATGCTGAGCCACTCACTGGCTTAGGGACAAAGAAGGAGTTAGCCTTGCCTGTGTTGTGAGAAATTCCACAGCTTGAGAGTTTTCAAAGGCAGCTCCACATAGTGCGTACAGTAGTCCAGGCAGCATATGACTAAACCATGCATTATCATGGCTGGCTCAGAAATCTCGGAAAAATGGGCACAACTGCACAACTGGCACCCTCTTCTATGCCCAGTACTCCAAAGGGTCTGTAGTGGGAAGTCTACCACCATATATCCTTGTCTACCCTAGCTACTGGACATGGAAACCCTATTTTATCCTGACAGCATCAATAGCTTTCCTCAAGATGCCAGCAGTGAGTGCAACAGAGGGGGCTGTGAACATGTACTCTTGTACAAATACACTCCTGGTCACCTCCCGCACTCCAGTTTTAGGCTGAATCCAAACGTACACCTAGACAGAAAACATGCATTCCAGAGAAAATGTCAACCCATCCAATTGAGATCAAATCCACTATGGGACAGCATTTACACTACACCTTAAAGGGAATAAACCTAATTTAGAAGGCACTTAACATGTCTTTCTCCTCCTACACCTTCCTATGATGTCCCAGCACTTGCTTCCCAGTGGAAGAACCAGTTCTAGCTCTCTTCTTTTTCCAACAAGCTGCTTACTCATTTACATGGAATTCCATGCAGTTCTTGTCATCTATAACCAACTAGTGAGTGATTAAATGTAAGGGAGAACTAATATTGTGAACACTAACCAATGATTTGAGATGGTAAATTATTCTGCTGTGAAGCCACCAAACCTTAGACTTACTCTAAGAAAAGCTCTCCTAGTTATGATTGCATTTTCCCCCTGCTATTTATTTGTGCTCAGTCTCTGAATCAATTTCCAAACCCTTGTACCAAATCCATTTCCAAATCTGCCCCCTATCAGCTTGATAAATATCGCTTTCTTCTTTAATACTTTACACTTTCTTTTTCTTACATACTTAATGCTATGCAAATTCTTAGAATCTAGTACAAGTATTCAAATCAAGTCATTTCTCTTATATTATTCTTTTATTGTGTCTTTTTAAAAATAAAATAATAGAAAATATTCAAATTAAAAAAAAATAAAATTTGAAATTGGGAAAATCATGTTAGAGATTTTCCATTTTTAAAGAGAAACGTTCATGAATTACACTGGTGACTGTCATAGCCTACCAAAAAGTTCTCAACTCTTTCTGGTCAGAGACCTGAGGAGAATTTTTTACTTATTTCCTTAACTTAGCAATCACTTGTACATGGCCTGAAGCCCAGAAGAATGGAAACTTATTGCAAGAGGAATCTTACAGTTCAGTCCACTGAAATGAGGTGAGATGCCCTTGAATAAAACAGTTACTGACAGATAATTTTCTTCAGTTCCTTCTCTTACCCTTTGTCTCAGTTTGTTTACAACACACAATCGTTTGACTCTCAGCACCCAATGATTTCAGCCTGCAGAAGCCCTGATTGTTTTCACTTACTGATCATAACAGAGACAGTGTTCACGTTAGGGTTGAAAGAGCAGCGTCCCTTCCCAGATTCACATTTGGAATCGATCTTGAAAATTTGCTCCTGTAACACAGAAAGGAACACTCAAGCTGTAGAAAAAGCTGGAAGTGAATTTTAACCTGCTTGAATCCAATGACACATCATATGGGGTGAATGTTCAAAACTAGCCAGGGTTTACCTTATGATTGGCAGGAATAGTCCCCTATCACTCAATAACTCTTGTGGCATTTTAAAGGCTACCACATTTTTAAGACATATGGAAACTATCTGGAGTTTGTTGCTGCTACCTTGCAATTTCATTAACTTCCATGGCCTACTTTTACAAGTTGGTACTGTATAAGCCTATGAGGCCTCATGTTCCCTATCTTTCTGAAATATGTTGCTTCTTTTCTCCTCATGCTATTGTGGGTTCTCCCCACTCATCAAAAGTCAGGAAACGTATTTTGGCTTCTGGGGAGAAAAATGTCCCTGGTGGATCTCTTTCTGGGAGTACAACTACAATGATTAATAAAGAGTTAAAATTGTCCACCCCTTGTGACATTGCAAACCAGTTGCTTGAGCAAGCTGCCTACACTCTGTGTAGTATTAGAGATTAATGATTGTTTGGTTGACAATATCAAATGCTGAATAAAAGTACCCAGAAAAGGCTTGCGTGGGAAGACAGTATTGCTGCTCACACTGAGTACTGCAAGTTTGGCTTGGGATTTTTTTGGCAAAGGATGGCTTTATGATTTCTAAATGATGTAAAGCCAATAAAAGTCTAGGGGTCAGTCTTACAGGGAGGTAGCTAAAGTTCATGCTTCTAGTATACATGCATAAACTGTGAAGGCCAATGCTTTCTTATTCCCCCCAGTAACCAACCAATACAGGAAATGAGAGGCTAAGAACTGCTCTTTCCCAGCACAAATTTCCATTCACACTCCATGTGCTCTCTAAAGGCAACACAACTGGAAATGGAGCTATGGTATTGTTTTTTCTTCTGGTGTAATTTGTGAAGCATAACCCATCCCTAGCTGCCTAGGTGGTCTAGGATTTAAATCCCTATCTCCTCATGTGTAAATTCAGTATGGAACATATTGCTTACTATTCTGAATTTAAACTTTATTTACTCTTTGTAGGTGTTCCACCTACAGCAGCCTTCCCAAGCCTGAGTCGTTCTAGAATGCCTATCATCCACCATCAGTCATATTGACTGTGGCTGACAGAAGTTGTGACTGGGGAAGCTGGCTCTAGAGCAAATTGTATTAGTGAAGGGATCCAGGAACCACTTAGCTGTATCATACCAGAGGTAAGAACCCTGGCTAGAAATTAAACCCTGGCTAGAAATTTGTTTCTGGGAAGCTTGAGCGCAAGGAGGCATGAACACAAATAATGTTTGCCAACTCTGGCTGTTCCCAGAGAGGGCTCCTTGTGTGCATGAAGATTTTGTCCATGCAAGCTGACTAAAAACTAGAGGTGTCTTTTCCTTCTTGTTCTTTACTCTTTACTCTTGTGGATCATTCTTAGTTCCCTTCATAATTTTTTTCCTTAGACTTGGCTAAATTCTTTAGAAGCTGTACTAGGCATCTTCACACTTTGTGCCAATGAAAAACACATGTTTATTGTTATCTAAAATGTGCACGTGCAGCTTCTCTATTAAAATCAAGTACCTTGTGAGGATGTTTGTGAGGCCTTTAGATGTAACTACTCCCAGATTATGGAACAGAGGTGCCACTGGCTCCTTTCCTTTTGCTATCAGTTGAAAATCTATCTCTTTAGAGAGGCTTTTGGGAACTAAGAGGCAATTGAGAGGGGGAGACCACTTGAAATGTAAAATGTTAAAATGTATAGCTTTTAAGTAATGTTTTAAATTTGTATACATTATCATTTAAAGTCATCATCAATTTGTTTTATTTAATGATTGACTTTAAATGTTTTGTATGCCACATTGGGTTCCCCATGGGGGAGAAAAACTTATGGTGAATGAGTGACCTCCTAAAAGTCATTGCTTAACAGTCCTGCTCAACAATTGCAAACTAAAGATCATGGATTCCTTCACTGTGTCACTCCACCTAATATTCAGTCTCCTTCTTCCATTGTTGCTTCAACTTTTCCCAGCATTATTGTCTTTTCCAGAGTCTTTCCTTCTTGCAATGTGTTGTAAGTACTGTAGTCTCAGCTTAGTCACTTTTGCTACTAGAGTGTTTTAGCACCTGCTTAATTTGTCTTTCTCGTGGTCCACAGTTTCCACAAAGCTCTCTTCCAAGATTATATTTCAAATAAATTGATTTTCTTCCTGTCAGCTTTCTTTACTGTGCAGCTTTTATATCTTTACATAGCAATTGGGAATATCAGAGTATAGATGATCTTGTCTTGGTCTCCACTGACACACATCTTTACTCTTGTGGATCATTCTTAGTTCCTTCATAATTTTTTCCCTTAGACTTGGCTAAATTCTTTAGAAGCTGTACTAGGCATCTTCACACTTTGTGCCAATGAAAAACACATGTTTATTGTTATTTAAAATGTGTACGTGCAGCTTCTCTATTAAAATCAAGTATCTCGTGAGGATGTTTGTGAGGCCTTTAGATGTAACTACTCCCAGATTATGGAACAGAGGTGCCACTGGCTCCTTTCCTTTTGCTATCAGTTGAAAATCTATCTCTTAAGAGAGGCTTTTGGGAACTAAGAGGCAATTGAGAGGGGGAGACCACTTGAAATGTAAAATGTTAAAATGTATAGCTTTTAAGTAATGTTTTAAATTTGTATATATTATCATTTAAAGTCATCATCAATTTGTTTTATTTAATGATTGACTTTAAATGTTTTGTATGCCACATTGGGTTCCCCATGGGGGAGAAAAACTTATGGTGAATGAGTGACCTCCTAAAAGTCATTGCTTAACAGTCCTGCTCAACAATTGCAAACTAAAGATCATGGATTCCTTCACTGTGTCACTCCACCTAATATTCAGTCTCCTTCTTCCATTGTTGCTTCAACTTTTCCCAGCATTATTGTCTTTTCCAGAGTCTTTCCTTCTTGCAATGTGTTGTAAGTACTGTAATCTCAGCTTAGTCACTTTTGATTTGTTTTATTTAATGATTGACTTTAAATGTTTTGTATGCCACATTGGGTTCCCCATGGGGGAGAAAAATAAAATAAATAAATAAAATGTCAATTGGAACTTCATCACTGATGAGCACCTGTCTCCTGGTCATACTTAGGTGATGAGGTAGCCAAACCTTCTCCAATCCAAGTCTGAATGTCAAACATTTGGTGCCCACTGTTACGCAAAATTCACGTGTTATGGCCTCTAGAGATCTTGGCCTTTTAGGAGGATATGAATGTTCATATCAATCGGTTCTTTTCTTTCCCTTTTTCACTGCTAAAACATCTTTTGCCTGTGAAAAATGATGGTGAGTTGTAAAATGAAATGAGAAAAGCCATCGACTTGTTGGTAAGAAGTGTAACTTCTCACAACCTTTGCATGTGGGAATGCTAATTACTATGCACAGATGCAATAGGAACAAAGGGGAGAAAGGCACTCACATTAAATCCTTACATTTGAAGCAGCTTTGCTATTGTTGGCCTGTACAATAACAGCACTGAAAGCATGAGGTCTGCTGTCAAAGGCCTAACAGACTCCAAACATCTCAGACAGCCGTTTATTTGATCAATTGTTCATAGACATGTAGCAAAAGAGACAGGCTGACTGAAGCCAATTCCAGTACACACAAGATGTGTATTTTTATTTTGCAGTGTCGGAAGAGCATTGCTTTGCTTCATCTTGAAGTCTAGCATTTTACTGTAAATTTATCAGTGTCATATTAGATCAACAAAGCCAAGAAAAAAACATTTGTCTGATTAATGTGGAGATTGTGGGTCTGTTGAAGAATCTTGTGAGGGTGCCTTTGAAAATGGATCAGGATTCCTCTTGCATCTGCAGAAATTAGGTCTGAGTTGTAAGGAATGAGAAAGTGCTAAATTTTGTGAACATGGTATCTCCTAGTGGAAAGCAGACTTAAAGGAACAGGTTTTATGGATATTAAACCCAAAATAAAAACACTACCTGAAATGGCCACTGCCATGGGGAGATTCTGGGACCGATAGTCCAGAAAAGATAACTCTTCTGAGTTCTAGAAACACCAGTTCTCCTTTTTATGAGCACACTGGCACGTAAATGTTTGCAGGTGTCAAGGGCTGAGCACCAGTTCTCCTTTTTGGCTATTTTTTTATGAGCACACTGGTACGTAAATGTTTGCAGGTGTCAAGGGCTGAGAGAACACCATGTCATTTCTAAGATCACTGGGCCAGCCTTCCTACATTACACAGTGGTTGTACGACACCAAAATAGCCACGGAGCACTTAGTGTGCGGCCCTAAAGGACCTACAGGAAGCCTTGGCAATCCGCACATCCTTCTGGCCATTCCTTCTGTGAGCACAAATAATGAACTCGCCATTATACTCTCACTATACTTGCCTTGCCTGCCAGTATTATTAATCCCTTGATGGAAGAGGTGGAGAATATTTACTTCCAATATATGCAAGCTTTTCTGAGTATTTCATAACACATGTGGAAGTGCATACTTTTCATTTAATTGGGTTGGGCATCCTCACTACTCTCAAGGTGACCATTTCAACAGTTCTGCCTGCAGAGCAGTGATCTTAAATAGGGAGCACTTAGCAGTATAGGCATGTCCCTTTCCCTGCTTCCACAGTCATTCACGGTCAAATGTTTTTGGCCTTCTATGTCTCTCAGCTGCCAGTGGAAAGCTAATTGATTCCATGATACTGGAACAGCTTCGTCGGCATGAAATAAGAGAGATGTGGCCAGAGGTTTGTCCTCGCATATCTTGTGACAACCAACAGCAGGGACTTTTGCAGGGTTAGAGGTTATATACCATGTGAGCAGCCAATATTGTCTTTGTAGCAGATACTGACAGTCCATTGCATAAAGATTTGATAAATGAAATGTTAGTGCTGGCTCATCTGGAGACAGCAACATGCTGGAAGACCTTGGAGGATCTGAATCTGAAGGATTGGTTGAACTGTGCATATCTATGGATGCATGGTATTCTGCTATTGTCTGTGCAAGAAAAGACTCATCATTATATAATCCTTCACTTGAGCAGTTGAGATTTTGGAAGGGCATCCTTTATTAGGCTGTGGACTTGAATGTTTACATATGGAGAAAAAGAATTGCTTCTATGCCATGAGAGCTTTTTCGTGGTCAAGTCAGCCAGAGTTTCTACTTTCCCTCCATTATATGCTGTGGGCAATGTATTGTGTTGTACTGAGATATGTTCTGCTTTGTAGCAAATTCTTGGCAGGCATCAGGCAGACTTCTACTGACAAACACAACCCCTGACAGACTAAAACACTTGCCTCAGACCTTCGCCCTCTATTAAGGTAGGCACATACAGGGCTGAATGCTCCACTCCCACATACATAGAGATGAGTCCGGTTGAATGTCTGTATGACACGAACAAAGTTGCCACAACCATGCTGTAGAGAGAACAAAACAAAAAGACCCAATTGATAAATGCCTGCACGTACATTGCATTGTGATATTTAGTTGCAAACACAGTGTTGAAATATAACTAGAAATGTGTGTTCTTGAGGGTTAGCCATAGTTACATTTAACAGGAATCACAGAGCAATATTATTAAGCGGGAGGAGCATTTGCCTTGCATTCAGAAGGTCCCAAGTACACTCCATAGGGCATCCTCTTAAAAGTATTACAGATTAAAGTCTGGGCTCCCTCACTGGGAGAAAGGCAGCATATAAATTTACTAAATAAATAAACAGTTGGTGTAGAATCATATGGACTAGAACATAGGCATGGACAAGCTACCTCTGATCATAGGAAAGTTCGTGAACAGAAAACAAGTAGAACTATCATGGTTGAAATAGTATACAAACAAATGAATGAAAGAAAGAAAGAAAGAAAGAAAACATTATGATAATCTCAAAAGGAAGTCTGAAAAGAAGCTGCCTTCCAATTCTTGGCGTTGCCATTTCTTGAAGGGTGGTCACAGCCAGCAAAATGTTTCTTAGCCTTGTTGTACTTGTCTAGACAGCTTCCCCCAACAATATTGAAAGTCTGACATGATTACAGCATTAGTTTCAGCAGACATGAAACATTTAGCCGTGCTTTCAACATGTGACAAGATTTTCAGAGCCATGAGTACAGAAAATGTAAACATGCACAGAGACCTGTTCTGTGTTCTTCTCCTTCTCCCTCCTGCCATTTTTCCACCCCACCTTCCTGTTCATTCTACTCTTTAGGACTCTCAGAGATGAGTGCTGTGCACTTTATACCCAGATGTTTCCATTCCAGATTTGACATTATGGATGATATCGTTCTGTCTGTATATGCATCATACACTAAGATTATTAGGGATTGTGTGCAGATAAACCCTATTTCATTGCATGACATTCATGTTCCATTCCAGAGAGCATTTCATTTTTCTATGACACCTTTTTACATGATACTCAGAAAGATATTACATCAATAGCTGATGGTGCAGTCTACAGGATACTCTCTCGTGCTCTTTACCATACACAAAGTGACACCAAGGAAGAGAAAATCCCAGAAGCTGGCTCCTTTTTTCATCAATTAACAAATTCTCACTCAAAGACAAAGCTATTGTCAGGACAAGTTTTCAACAAGGGTGAATGATAAATGAGCACAAGAGGTAAACCTGTAGACCAGGGGTCCCCAACCCCCGGTCCGTGGCCCAGTGCCAGTCTGTGGCCATGGCAGGACCAGGTAGAGGAGACAGATCTCCTGCCCCCCGCATGCACTCCCCCCCGCATCCCACCTGCACCCATGGATGGCCCACCCCTCACACACACATGTCCTGGTCACTGGGCCCTGCCCATTTGCGCATGCACGAGTGCACCCTGCCCATCTGCGAGCACGCCCCACTCATTGTGCATGCGCACAAGTGTGCCCCACCCATCCGTGAGCATGCCCTGCCCCTCCCACAAGCATGGGAGGGTGCCCCACCCCCCAGGCTCTGACACTGGGTCCATCCCCACTGCTCATTTCCCAGCCGGGCTCTGCCTCCCGGAGCTCGGCCAGGAAGCGAGCAGCACAGAGGGATGCAGTGCTGGGAGTTAGAGCCCGGCCGGGAGGCCATTTGAATTTCCTGTCATCAGCCGGCCGAAGGCAGCGAGGAGCACTGAGGACTGACGCAGCCACCCTGGCAAGCAACCACTGGTGCTGGTTCTGGAGCTGGAGCCGGCGTCAGGCACCAGCAGCAGCATTGGTCCGTGAAGGGCGTTGAGGAGAGAGCAGGAGGAGAGCCGGGAGGTGAGCAGCTGAAGCCCCCCGGCCAGACTCAAGCCTCCCGGCCGCAGCGGTTGCAGCGACAGTGGAGGCCCGGGAGGCTGAGGAGGCTTTGGACCAATAAGGTGCTGCTCTTTTAAAAAGTTTTGGGTGGGTGGCTTTTGTTTTGTTGGGGGGAATTGATGGTCAATTTTTTTTTTTTTTTGCAGTCCCAGTGTGGTGCTTGCTCTGTTTATTTTTATTTTGGTATTTTTTTTAAATGCTGGAATGGATTAATCTCATTCCCATGCATTTCAATGGGAAATGGTGCTTTGACTTATGAACGTTTTGATTTACGAACATCTTCTGGGATGGATTAAGTTCATACGCCAAGGCACCACTGTATACATGAACTTCGCACAAATTCCAAATTTCCCTCATATAGAATTACCCAGTGCTAGAGGATCCCAGAAGATGAGCACATGATCTGTACTATAGTTCTTGGGAGAAGACAGAAGCAAGAATAGCTGGGATAAGGCTGTAGTCCCTTTGTGCCAAAATATTTTAAAAAGCTGTTTTGGACTTATTGAAATGGTGAAGCAAGAGTGTGAGTAACTGCAACACATCCAGTGGAGAATAATATGCACCCTTTAATCTCTCAGGTAAACTAATGTTGCCATGTCTGTTCCACAGAATGCAGACTAGAAAGCAATCTTCCAATTTCCAAACCCTTTCCTTGGGATAGACAAGCTGAGGAAGAAAAGTTACATTGGACTAAAAGCTACAGTGCTGTTGTGTGCATATTTTCTAAAAGATGTCCCCTCATCTTTTGATTTTTTTTTAAAAGAGAGGACTGACAGCAAAGATTAACATTAACAAAGATTCGTGGGATGGTTGAAACTATGGCAGGGTATAGGCACAAAAACTCTCCTAACATTGACTAAGACCACTTACAGTGACAAAGCAAAAAGTGGCAATTTCATAGCTTAAATGAGTGAGCTTCTGAAGATTTGTTCTGTATTAATTTTAAAATATATTTTAAAATATTTTTACAACTAGAATCCCTTTAGCAGCACCATTGCTTATTTGGCCAGGAAGGAGTTAAAAGGTTTTGCTCCTGAGAATCAACTAATTGGATCCTGACTGACAGGGTCAAATGTTCAGATTGCCCCAACCCTGAAGCTGATATCCCCTTTAAAGACTTTTGTAAGGAAAGTTTACTGAAAGCACTCAGGGCTGGGATAAATACAGCTCTGTGCTTCTGTTATGCAGAAATAACTTGAATTTGCCTTACAAAATGGTATGCTAATTCACTTGCAAAATGTGGCAAAATGTACCGCTTTCTGGAGGACTGTCACTCCCTCACTTTCTTTAAAGCAAGCCTGTTTTTAAAAACTCTTTAATGGAAACTTATCTTCTGATTATTTTTGTAACCTTTCACTGACCTCCAAATGCTTCTCTCCTGAGGCCACAAAGCTGCATCAATGTATTTAGTTGGCAACACTCTTACTGGCAAGCCTGTTCCATGCATGCTCAGTTTATAATAAAGTCACCATTATTTTTTTCTGAAAGGACTTTTTTTAAGGTTCAATATCTCAGCCCCTGCAGTTTTCTTTTCTTTCTTTTCTTTCAGGATAAGCAAGATTGGTCTTTTTAGTTTGCATGAGCTGATTTATATCAGGGGCTTTTAGGGTCACTTGTTTCTGCACGGGGGTGGAAATAATTTTTATTTTTTAAAAAATCATAACTCAAAAACCTTTTGTTCAAACATCCTCAAATCTAGCACAGTGCATGTGCAGTCCGCTACATCTGTGCCAAATTTGGTACTGAACTGAAGTCAAGTTTCAAGGTTAATTTTTTGGGGGGGAGTTGGCTGCACCCAGTTTTAGAGTTGCATTGTCAACTATTGATTATGCTGATTTGCTCTGCTGAAAAATATAACTGCATGACTGTGCAGCTCTAATGTCCTAGTTACACTGGAAATCAGGAGGAGTCAAATACAGGGCACAAGACAGTGGTGCCTCACTAGACAGTTACCCGGCATGACAGTTTTTTCGCTAGACATTGACTTTTTGCAATCGCTATAGTGATTCGCAAAACAGTGATTCCTATGGGGGAATTTCGCTGAACAATGTTTGGTCTCTGCTTCGCAAACCAATTTTTGCTAGACAATGATTTTGACAGCTCCCTCCGTGCTCGCAAAACTGGTATTTTCGGGACCTAAGCTTCGCAAGACAGCTATTTAAACAGCTGATCGGCGGTTCACAAAGCGGCTTTCCTATGGCTGATCTTCGCTAGACAACGACGATTCTTCCCCATTGGAACACATTAAACAGATTTCAATGCATTCCGATGGGGAAATGCTTTTCGCTAGATGATGATTTCACTAAATAACAATTTCAGTGGAACGGATTATCATCGTCTAGCGAGGCACCACTCTACTTTGTGGACTAATGAAGGCTGACATTTGCTGGCTAAAGATATTCTCCCTTCTGGACCGAACAAGATATGGTCAGTCAAAGAGCTCCATGATTTATTAATGCTACAGACATTTATATGGTGTCTTACAGTCTGATCAGCCAAAAATTTAAGTGAAAGCCTGAAGTTGGGATGGACAGATAGCCCTGCTTGTGGCCTGTGTCAGGTTTACATGTGTTCTTTCCTAAGCCAGTTCGACCCCATTTCCTCATTGACCTGACTTTTAAAAAGATTTTTATTCCCATTTTGATACCGTTTGAGGCAAATGAAGGAAGGAATAACAGAATGGAGAGAAGTATAAAATCCAAAGTAAGGATGTGAACCTCACAGCCTCTCATCCTCTGAATGAAAGCAATGAAAACTACTGTACTGTAATTCTCTTCTCTTTCTGGAGAGATTTCTCTGTGGAAGGTGGATTTTCCCCCTCAAAAATGTTCTAAGAAAATCTTTCCAGATTCCTCAGAGGTTTCATTTTTTTTCTGGAAAAAGTGCCAAGCAACACATAATCGTTACAGAACAGCATCTTTCCTGTGCAGAATCCATCCAGAAAGGATATAAGAAATACAAGGCTACACATGACTGTTTCAGTTGCTGACAAAAATGGCATTTTTATAGCATAGGATTCAGTGAAAATAGCCATTAGGCTGCACATAATCTAGCAAATTTCTTTTGAGAACACCAGATAAAAACTTTTAAAAATGTTTTTACTGTTTTAATTTTTATAGGAAGCCATATTTTGCTAAAGCAGGGGCAAGTCTTAGCAGAGAATCTCACCATGGTGAAATTTGGAAAAGCACAAATGATAAAAAAATGTAAATACTCTACATGTAAAACCCTTGATCTAATCAATAATTCCATTTTCATGTTCATATTTAAGGAAATACAGATCATGTTGGTTGCCTTGAAAATATGAACCAAGCACAATCCTTGATTTTCCTCCTCTAATGACTAGAAAATGTTCAATGAACTATGTCACAAGAAACACAAAACTATAGTTGAGGAATAGCCATGGCAAGTTTCATCACTGCTTGTTCTCCTTCTCCCATCTACATTGCTGCGACCAGAAGTTTCCATCTCCATGTCAGATTTACCACTGCTCAGTATATTCTCTAAACCTTAACTAGAGTAAACTTTAACTACAGTTAGTAGAAACCAAAGAGCTTCATAAATCGTCATCTGGAAATGCTTTGTTTTTACTGGCTATAATTAAGATTAACCATAGTATGTTGGGTCTGAATAATCCAACAAGCCAAAACAGAACAAAGTTATTGAATTTCTTAGTTAACACACAGGAGATAAAATGGCAGGCCATGGTACTGTGGTTCACTTAGGCTAATTTTCACAACACTGAACATTTTGGCCAGAACACTGTCTAGTTTCATGGAAGGGAGTGACTTGATGTAAAATCAGCATCAGAGTAGAAAAGATATGGGAGATATAATTCAGGAACTGGCTATATTTTCATCTGTAAATAATGATTTTCTAAAAATAATATATATTTTTTAAAAAGATTGTGATATTTCTCAAATTGGTTTCACATTAGGTTAAATGCAGATTAACTTTTGTATGTTTAAATCATTTATAAGATAGAATTACAAAAACCATTTAAATGTAGCAATTTTCATTACAGATTCTGGAAAATTAAGTAGTGCACAGAAAAAACACTAGCTTTTATTTTTAAAATGAACTGAACAGAACTGAAGCAGTTGAGGTTAACAACTTTTCCCGCTCTCTCTTATTTAAACTAGGGCAAAGATGGGTCAAGTCTCTGCCTTTATCCTAATCAAGACATTCCAGTCTGTATTTTGAATTTTTTACTTACAAACTGGATCTGAATTGTTATCGCTCACATGTTGAACAGCATCTGTGAGGTGCACTATTGCATGCCATGTGAGGCAACTATATACAAGCGTAGCATTTTTTCAAAGCTTAGCATTTGTAAAGAAAAAAAATTTGACTCCGCATTATTTTGTCAGTTGAAAACCACCACAGTAGAGTGCTCACCTACCACATTGCTCCTGCAAAATCAAATCAATGTTCTTATCTTCTCACAGATTCTACAAAAAGACTAACAGAGTGGTCTAGTATGACCAGATAGGCGGGATAGAAATAAAATAAATAAATAAATGAATGAATGAATGAATGAATGAATGAATGAATGAATGAATGAATGAATGAATGAATAAATAAATAAATAAATAAATAAATAAATAACCTACTGCCTGTTTAGCACTGTTTGGAGCAGTTAATCTCAGCAGCAAATAGACAGCTTAGATTTCAAGAACTGAACATAACGTATGTTCAAGGATGAGGCTGCTTATCTGTATTCACTAGCAGAAGAACACCTGTTTCTTTTCATATAATATACAGTTCATGCTAATTAAAAAGCATTGGTATGGACTGCAAGATTATTAATACCTTTGGTAAGCTTAAAATGGAGTGCAAACATTTTGACTCAAACATTGGCCCCACTAGGACATATTTCAGAGCAAATGTACAGCACACTGTTCAGTTGTACAGCTGGTTCATTGGCCAAGCATAAGGAGGTGACTCACAATTTCAGACCTTGGGCTGTTTTATGGAATATACATCATCTTCATCGTTTAAAGGAACACTCATCAACATAAAGTTCTCAGTCAATGACATCTATAAACTTATTGTGCTGTCCTGGCTTCTTTTTTCATGTACAACAATCTACATTTATTCAAATACAGTAATATCATCGTCTGGTTGCTGCACAATGGCAGAGGGTGGTGTTTCACTTAACTGGGGCTTATTTTGGGCGTAGGGCTTATATTACGAGCATCCTGAAAAATCATACTAGGGCTTATTTTCAGATTAGGTCTTATTTCCAGGGAAACAGGGTGTAACTATTCTCATTTCTCCTGCTGTTGGAAGACTAAATTGTCATACATTTACTTGGTTCCAAAGGTGTTAAATCTACTATACCCCACTGTTCCACCAGAAGTGATGCTCCTCTTATCAGCACTTTTCCCCTCATGCACCCTCTTCTTGAACTGTGAGGGTGACTAATGAGGAAATAATAAAAGGAATGAATGAAGGCCGAGAAATCATAAAACACAGCAAAATCCAAAAAGACAGAATACTACAGTCATGAACAAGTACAGATTATCACATATGATTGTTCAACATAAAATATATAAGAGGAAGTGTAGGAAGGAAAAAAAAACCTTATTGGACGGATAATCTTGGGAGAGTGGTTGAGATGCAGTCCAACATCATCAGATTGAGTTCCAATATTCAAAGTCAAAATGGACATGATGGTGTTGAACTTATGTAAGAAGGAGGAAGTGGTGGAGGATTTTAGCTCATCAAAAACCAAGATCAGAATTTAACACAAGAAATTTCAGAATGTACTGTCTTTTAACATGAAGTTGCCAACATCAGAATCCAAATGTATTTATTTTTACTAGAAAATAAAATAATTCAATTGGATTAGCATGTAAATAAGTACACGAACCCAGCATTGCAGTTTTGCAGTGCAATTGTATCTATGCCTGTCAATATTAAGCCCCATTCTATGGGCTTTCTCCTTCATAATTGAACCCTAAATCTCAGCCATCCATTGCTTACATTTTTACATTGATGGCATTCAGTAATATATAATACCCTACTAGATGATTATTATACTATGTATACTACACTGTGTTTTCCATATTAAGGTACAGTACTGATGTAATGCTAATCCTTAGTAGCAGTGACATATTTGAGTGCTACAGAAAGCAGACCCCATGCTACCATTTGCAGACTAATTTAATTAATGAGAAATCACTTGAATCCATTACAGGTGACATCTTAATGAAAAATGTTCTACTTTCTTACGCTCTGCTGATCCAGTATTTTTTTTACCTGAGGAAGTGTTGATCAAGCTAAGCCAAACTTGCAAAATGCACTTGATATATTTAGGTACACTCTTTTTAATTATATTTCCACACCCAGATGAACTGCTATTACAGCACTGCTGTCATTATAAAATTAGCAATTTAGAAATTGTGTATCTTATCAATTGGTGGCAAAACAAGGTCTGATACAGTGGTCTGGAATTAGCTACAACACGTAGCTTTAGTTGGTGCAATGATATCATTTGTTGTTCTTATTACTTATAGACTTCCTTACAGACATTTGCAACAAGGTGATGTATGATGTACTAAAATCATAACAATTAAATAAACAATGGGTTTGTTCGGCCAAGAACAACTTTGAGGATTGGAGGCTTAATAGGTAATTGGCTGAACAGAGGTCTGCCTTTTTCATTTTTTGGGGAGGGGTGCAGGATTATTGTTTTAACTCCAGTAACAGTTGTGCCACATTTACCTGTTTTAAGGAAGTTCTGCTCTTTTTGACCTCTGCTCAAAATGGTGCTTTATAGCAGTGGTCCCCAACCTTGGGCCTCCAGATGTTCTTGGACTACAGCTCCCAGAAGCCTTCACCACCATCTCTGCTGGCCAGGATTTCTAGGAGTTGAAGTCCAAGAACATCTGGAGGCCCGAGGTTGAGGACCACTGCTTTATAGAACCAATAAAAGAGTCTTTATGATCAAGCAGTAAGTGCTGTTGGAATGAACATGGATGGATGGATGGATGGATGGATGGATGGATGGATGGATGGATGGATGGATGGATGGATGGATGGATGGATGTGTGTATATTTGTGTGTACGCACACACAGACACATGTATGTATGTCCCACATATATATCTTCTCCACATACAAAAGGCCACACATATAATCAGGGAGTCTATCAAAGTACTTACATTAGTATTAGCAGTCTGCCATATATTCTCTAAAAAAATATACAGCGGTGCCTCGCTTAACGATTACCTCATTAAACGATGAAACCGCTATACAATGATTGTTTTGTGATCGCTTTTGCGATCGCAAAACGATGTTTTAATAAGCAAAATCTGCTTTGCGATGATTGGTTCCCTGCTTCGGGAACAGATTCTTCGCATTATGAGGTTTTTAAAACAGCAGCTTCAAAATGGCCACCCACTGTGTAAAATGGCTCCCTGCTGTGTTTTTGGACGGATTCCTCGCTTTACAGGTACCGAAAATGGCCGCCCCATGGAGGATCTTCACTGGACTGTGAGTTTTTCAGCCCATTGGAACACGTTGAACGGGTTTTCAATGCGTTTCAATGGGATTTTTTATTTCGCTTAATCAGGATTTCGCTCTACAGCGATTTCGCTGGAACGGATTATCCTCGTTAAGCGAGGCACCACTATACAGAGTAAGTTTTATTATAAATATCCATCACTAGCAACAAGATAAGCAAGAAACACGGGTGCTGTTTTTCAAATCAACAACAACAACAACAACAACAATAATGATAATAATGATGATGATAATAATAATAATAATAATAATGATGAATCTGGTTTTGAACCTAAGCAGTGGTCTCCTCCCCCCAGGACATCAGGAAGGTTGTGTAAATATTTTGTTTGTTTCAGAAATTCTGTGGGATCACTTAGTCTACAAAATATGAAAAATAAAATATGCCCTCTTCTACATTGCTTTTGGCTGCACCCAAGGTGCTCCATCTTAGTCTGCCAAATATTTAATTAGAAGGAAAAATAAAATACTTACTGTAGGATCTTTGCCAGCCATTTTGCACTCATCAACTTTGGCTGTTGATGCTGGCCAGAAAATCTGTGGAAAAGGGGAAAAATACATATAAAATGGATTACATAATATTACATGCATATTTATAGGGTGGGGTGGCAGGGGAGAGAATTATCATTTCCACTTTGTTCAAGCTACTACAGTGCCTTTAAGTCATGCCTAAATTTACAAGATCAATATTGTTGCAGATCTATTTTGCTGGGGAAAGCATTTTCTCCAAGTTTTTCTTACTGAGAAAAACTTTTTTTTCCTTACTGAGAAAAATTCAGACAGCGGGGTGAGCTGCCCTCCCACCATGTTGAGTGAGTTCCATATCAGTCCCACTTTCTAAAAGAAATAATGTTCTCAAAGATATCACTGAAGTGCAAGCTGTTTTAAATTAAAATGTTCTAGAAAGCAGCACTTCAATGTCTATATTTGTCATTTCCAATTGGCGCAGGCCCTTAGAAGCATGCAGGCAGATTTGGGCTGGCGGGAGGACCTTTAGAAGTTCATATGTGGTCAAGCAGTCTAAAAAGAGTTCTGCATCTGTCCTAACACAAGAATTCGATCAAGGGCACCCAAGATGAGCCAGTCTGTCTCCCTGTGCAATCCCACAACCTCTCTTCCATCCAGTAGGAGGGGGAGGGGCACATCTTTCCTGACATCTATTACTATTATGGGCAGCATGCAGAAATCCCAAAAGGGATTATCGTAGAGCCTATGCACAATCTCCTCAAAGGCCAATTGGTGTTAAAGGATGAAGAGAGCAGGTAAAACTCTTCTCTCCATAAGTGCACGAGAGACTGTGTGAACTGGATGCACTGCCCTTCAAGTGACCCAATATTTTGACATCCAAAAGATGGACAAGGGGAAGAGTGGGGAACTCCACACTTGTAAGTGCACAATGGTTGGCTTTCCAAACATTTATAGCAAACTCTCTCCCTTGAGTGGTACTCAGTGTGGGATAATAGACAGATTGACAGATTTAGGAAACCTGTACACTGAAAATAGCACACAGCTCTCACAACGCCATGTTGCATGCACCTCACAGGGGTCCCTGTGGCCTCCACCACAAAACAGTACCTCCCCATTCCAAGAGTGATAAGTTTGTAACTCTTTGCTGTTCTCATTTTCACACAAGAACACGAGGAACCATAAAATGATTCTTCTTACCGCACAACAAAGTGAGGTATTTTGTTCTTTCTTCTTGACAAAAGAAGGGAATAACAAGAACATAATTGTGCAAATTAAGCAAAATTGCACAAATACTGCAAACAGTACTTGAATGAAGTATACATACAAAATGATGATGGTTGTCACTTTGTTGTGTGGACTACTAACAACTGGCAGCATCAGAGGAGCTGCTTGCATCTTCCTCAATGATCAGGCAGTTGTTCCTTGTTTGCTATATATGTGTGTGTTTTCCTTCTCAAAGAGGAAGGGCACATGTTTTATACAGAAAAGATTTAACAAATTATAGGGAATCTTGACAAGAAAAAAGCAGAGCTCCTTATCAGAGTCTCACAATTGGAGGCAAGAAACCTTTTGGTGTCTCAAAACTCCTCATCGAGGTGTCTTGTCAAGTTAAGAATTTAATTAATCAGTATTCATCCCTAGTAGGTGAACCAGCTCTCTGTAAACTACCTGAAGTACAGCCAAATAGACATGAGTATACCATTGAATTATACCTAAAGCAAATTTGAGGAGAACTAAGGTGGGGCTCTTTGAATTGAAACACCTGCAGGATTTTCAGGGCATTTGACGTTTTTCAGAGTGGATAAAGAGATTATACATCTCTTGGTTGCACCAGACAGTACCTACAGCAACAACACAAAGACCCAACCTAGCCAAAACATATATAGGGAGATCAAAAGACTGGTTAGCTATCAAGAAATGTGTTATATTTTCTCTAAGACTGCAGAGCAAGTGTAAATCTAAGACAGTGTTTCCCAACTTGGGAGTTGTGACCTCCATGGGGGTTGCAAAGTGGTGTCTCTCTCTCTCTCTCTCTCTCTCTCTCTGTCTCTCTCTGTGTGTGTGTGTGTGTGTGAGAGAGAGAGAGAGAGAGATTTTATATGTGTTGCAGCCCTCGTTAAATAATTTCTTCCTTGACCTTTGGAGCCAGATACTAAGATACTAAGTGTAGTGTGTATGTGTATGTATGATAAACAGGCCCTTTTAGGGAGAGAGAAGCTTCTACTTTCTGAGAAGGGATTACTTTAGCCTATAAAAATGTTTTAAATGCAAATATGATGGCGAGGTTGCAGATTACTTGGCTATTATAAAAGCAGGCTGCAACTCAAAAAAAAAGTTGAGAATCGCTGATCTAAGACAATAGCAGGCTAACGCTTTATGAATCAAAAGAAACATTTAAGATTCTCAAGGGAAACTGCATCCTAAAGCACAGTTGCCACAGAAATACACCATAGTCTTGATATTTAATGATGATAATGGCTATACATCACCTTTCTGCCTGGAAGGACTTCCACTACATCACTTTAAAGCAAAACTATCAAATTACAATCCATTTCTCTAAAACATCAAGAGTGAGAGAGATGGAGGGGGAGGGAGGGAGAAAGATCATCTCTTAATCCATGAAAAACCAGCCTAAATAAAATACTTATTTGGTTTTTATTCCTGTGCCACCTTTCTCCTGTTGAGGGGATCCAAGTAGACTCTAGACGAAGGACAGACATCCTCTCTTGTTTTGTTCTTGGAGGTGACCACAACAAATCCAAAGTTTTATCCCCACAGGATATGATTATGTAAGCTTTAGTACTTTTTTTTTTATTTCAGGACTTTTTTGCGTGAAAAATCTCCAGAACTGGGTTCTGCGCAAAACCAGTATATTGTTTAAAATGTATTTTGCACAAAATGCAATGTTTTAAATATAAAATGTATAGGGTTTGTACAAAAGCAACACACCATGTTTCTTTTCTGATGGTGACATACCACCCCCTTCCCTCAAAAAAAATATGATTCTTTTATCGCATGCAAGAGAGGAATAAAATCTTTTTGAGCAAGGTGTCTTGACAAGTTTTGCATTGAAGATGAACTGATTTCTTAGTATTAACTGCATCCTTCCTTTATAGCGTGCCTCAACCCAGGCAAAGGGAGAGCCAATTTGACCTCCTTAGGGAGGGCAACAAGGTGGTTGCCCCAAAAAGCCTTGAGTCCTTTCCTCACCAACCTAACCTTTATTGCTGATGGAAGCTACACTAGGACCATGACAGAATAGCTTCTGCTCCATTCATTGCAAAACCTGGATTGCACATACACAGCCGATATTGTTGACTTAGTAGTACTATTTTAAAGGATTCTAAGAGTTTAAATTTTAATTATATAACTCAATTTAATTCTATTTTAATGTTTGCCATTTTATTGTATTCTAATCTCTCTGTTTCTAAACCATCCTATAAGCTACTTTGTGTCCCAATTATTGGAGAATAAAGGCATATAAATGTAACGAAATAAAATAATACATAAATAAGTTGCACATAATTAGAGAATGTGATCTGGATATTCTGCTTCCTTGTCACTTTAATACATTTGCATAAGAGCTGGTTGATGGATGTATTTATTTATTTATTAAATTTACACCCCACCCATTTAGACCCAAGTCTACTCTGGGCGGCTAACAATAAAAAATGGCATAAAAGCAATATAATAAAATAGAGAACAACAATAATACTGGGCCGCTTACAATTAAATAGCATAAAATCATAATTAAAAGGAACAATTTAAATAGCAATATTGGTAACATTCAAGATGGGGAGATAGAAATCAGTATAGACAGTGGAAATAAAAATAAAAATCGGGAAGTGACATGGGGGAAGGCTTGCCTAAAGAGCCAGGTTTTAAGTTGGCTTTTAAAAACACCCAGCGAGGGAGCCAGGCAGATCTCTGATGGGAGTCTGTTCCAAAGTCGAGGGGCCACTGCTGAGGACCGGTTTCTTGTTCTTTCTTTCCAGGCCTCCTATGGCGTTAGGCCCCTCAGCCATCTTTCCTGGCTATAGCAAGTGATTCGAGTAGATCTAGGTGGGAGAAGGCGTTCCGCTAGATGAGGACCTAAACCGTTTAGGGGTTTATACGTCATCATTAACACTTTGTAATCAATGCGGAAGCGAACGGGCAGCCAATGCAAGGCAGCCAGAGTGGGGGAAATATGTTGCTATCTTTGCATCCCATTAATAAGTCTGGCTGCCACATTCTGCACCATTTGAAGCTTCTGCATCAGTCTCAAAGATAGCCCCACGTAGAGCGCATTGCAGTGGTCTAATTTCGAGATTACAGGCACATGGACCAAAGTGGTGAGTGCCCCACCATCAAGATAGGGCAATTCGCCACAGATGAAAATAGGCGGAGCAGACCACTGATGCCACCTGGGTTTCCATGGTGAGCGCCGGATCCAGATGGACGGCTAAGCTGCGAACCTCACTCTTTGCAGTGAGAGTCACCCCCCAAAAGAGAGGGAGCTTCCCAAATCACCAATGGAGGGGCCACCCACCCTCGGGACCTCCGTTTTGTCCGGGTTCAGTCTCAGTCCATTCTCCTGCATCCATTGCAGTACAGCCTCCAGACAAGGAATTTGAACCTCCCCTATAAAAGCCTATGGTTTCTTGAGGAGGGTGACCTACATTCAGAACTTACATCCTGAAAAATACAAAACTGCTTTCCAAGTCTGATTTTCTATTAATGAAACTGATGAGGAAAGTAGACTGATTTTTTAAAAAGTTATACAATTCTTTTAAAAAATTCTCAGCCGCTTCCAACTGTTAATTTGTTCAAAAGTCCAAGTCAACAATACAAAACGACTAATGTTGCATCAAGAAGGATGTTTTCAAAGTGGTTCATTGTGGATGCCAAATATGAAATGCAGGATATCTTATAAGAAAATATGCTGCTAAGCTTCCAGCTGAAGTTAGCCCAAGAGGTTTATCTAGTATTTAAATAAACATTAGATTTGAGATGAATCCCCTTAGAATACACACCCAAGAGCAGAAAAATAAATGCAGTTAATTCCTAGCAGTTTCCATTTTAGGCAA